CGCTCCGCGCCTCGCACGCGGCAAATAGTGCGCGTGCTTGTTCAGCACTCGTAACCAGCGAGCCGTGCTTGCGCGGCGAGGCAACTACAGACACAGTGAAAGCACCTGAGTGAAGTTGGCCCCTACCCCACGCAAAACTCAGTGAAAAATAGCCACACTCGTTAGTGCTGGTTTGTGCAGAAAAAATATCGTTTGTGCTGTTTTGGTTTTTCAGGTATGACAACTTTATATAGCCTATATATATATATATAATATGATATGACAAATAAATAAATATGTATGTATGTATGTATGTAATATATGTATGTATGTATGTAATATATATATATATATATATATATATAGCCTATATATATATATATATATATATATATATATATATATATATATATCCTATATATATATATATATATATATATATATATATATATATATATATATAATAGCCTATATATATATATATATATATAGATATATATATTCACAAATATATATATATAAATACATTTATCTATCATGTGTATATATACATGTATTCCCTCAGTGTTAAACAGGGGAAACGCGTCCTTATGGCCAAATTACCCCCGTCAGATACCGTTCCCCCTGTGTTAAACGGGGGAAACGCATCCTGATGGCCAAATAACCCCCGTCAGATACCGTTCCCTCAGTTTTAAACGGGGGAAACGGTATCTGATGGCCAAATAACCCCCGTCAGATACCGTTCCCCCTCTGTTAAACGGGGGAAACGCATCCTGATGGCCAAATAACACCCGTCAGATACCGTTCCCTCAGTTTTAAACGGGGGAAACGGTATCTGATGGCCAAATAACCCCCGTCAGATACCGTTCCCCCTGTGTTAAACGGGGGAAACACATCCTGATGGCCAAATAACCCCCATCAAATACCGTTCCCTCAGTTTTAAACAGGGGAAACGCATCCTGATGGCCAAATAACCCCCGTCAGATACCGTTCCCTCAGTTTTAAACGGGGGAAACGGTATCTGACGGCCAAATTACCCCCGTCAGATACCGTTCCCCCTGTGTTATTTTTTAAAACTGGACACAAAAAACACAACCTCGAATCAAAATGCACATTTTTCAAAACACAATTTTCAATTTTACAATGGCTTACTTCTTGCCACTCTTCCATAAAGGCCAGAGTTGTGCAGTATACGACTGATTGTTGTCCTGTGGACAGAGTCTCCCACCTCAGCTGTACATTTCTGCAGTTCATTCAGAGTGATCATGGGCCTCTTGGCAGCATCTCTGATCAGTTTTATCCTTGTATGAGCTGAAAGTTTAGAGGAAAGGCCGGGTCTTTGTAGATTTGCAGTGGTCTGATACTCCTTCCATTTCAATATTATCGCTTGCACGGTGCTCCTTGGGATGTTTAAAGTTGGGAAATCTTTTTGTATCCAAATCTTTAAACTTCTCCACAACAGTATCTGGGACCTGCCTGGTGTGTTCCTTGTTCTTCATGATGCTCTCTGCGCTTTAAACTGAACTCTGAGACTATCACAGAGCAGGTTGCATTTTATACGGAGACTTGATTACACACAGGTACATTCTATTTATCATCTTCAGTCATTTAGGACAACATTTGATCATTCAGAGATCCTCACTGAACTTTTGGAGAGAGTTTGCTGCAACTGAAAGTAAAGGGGCTGAATAATTTTGCACGCCCAATTTTCAGTTCTTTATTTGTTAAAAATGTTTGAAATATCCAATAAATTTCGTTTCACTTCATGATTGTGTCCCACTTGTTGTTGACACAACAAAAAATTACAGTTTTATGTCTTAATGTTTGAAGCCTGAAATGTGGCAAAAGGTTGAAAAGTTCAAGGGGGCCGAATACTTTCGCTAGGCACTGTATCTGTAGCTAAGTAGCCAGGGCACATGATCACGCAGAGGCATAGTGGCAGGACCATCAACTGTCACATGAGCATTGCACCTGCTTGCTCTCAGTCTATCTGTAGCAAACACCCAACCCAACGAAGTGATTACAGCCTGTAAGAGTGCAGGCCTACTGTACTGCTTGAGAAAGTATTTGGAAAATACTATGTATGTAAAGCACTACATAAACACATTGTGTGCTGTAAATTGACAACCTATACCCTTTACAGTTCACTGTGAAGGACTTACTCTATCAAGACCAGGGAAACCAGAAGAATATGTAGGTTACTGCTAATTACCGTAACATCCTGTTCTTCCTGTGAGTGGTAAACTGTCACTTTACAACAGTGGAGGACTTTACTGTGGAAAAAATGTGTCTTTACATTACTCCTGATTGTTTTTCCCATTCATTTCAATAGATTGAGGTGTTATCAAATAGCAGAAAGATGAATTTAATGGATGAACCAATGGTCCTCCAATATTAAAGGTGTGAAACTAAAGTAAAATGATCCAGTGATCTTTGCATTGTTAGTGTTGTATCCAAGCAATTGAAAATTGTGTTTTGAAAAATGTGCATTTTGATTCGAGGTTGTGTTTTTTGTGTCCAGTTTTAAAAAATAACACAGGGGGAACGGTATCTGACGGGGGTTATTTAGCCATCAGGATGCGTTTCCCCTGTTTAAAACTGAGGGAACGGTATTTGATGGGGGTTATTTGGCCATCAGGATGCGTTTCCCCTGTTTAAAACTGAGGGAACGGTATTTGATGGGGGTAATTTGGCCGTCAGATACCGTTTCCCCTGTTTAAAACTGAGGGAACGGTATCTGACGGGGGTTATTTGGCCATCAGGATGCGTTTCCCCTGTTTAAAAAACTGAGGGAACGGTATCTGACGGGGGTTATTTGGCCATCAGGATGCGTTTTCCCCTGTTTAAAACTGAGGGAACGGTATTTGATGGGGGTTATTTGGCCATCAGGATGTGTTTCCCCTGTTTAAAACTGAGGGAACGGTATTTGATGGGGGTTATTTGGCCATCAGGATGTGTTTCCCCCGTTTAACACAGGGGAACGGTATCTGACGGGGGTTATTTGGCCATCAGGATGCGTTTCCCCTGTTTAAAACTGAGGGAACGGTATTTGATGGGGGTTATTTGGCCATCAGGATGTGTTTCCCCGTTTAACACAGGGGGAACGGTATCTGACGGGGGTTATTTGGCCATCAGATACCGTTTCCCCCGTTTAAAACTGAGGGAACGGTATCTGACGGGTGTTATTTGGCCATCAGGATGCGTTTCCCCCCCCCCCCGTTTAACAGAGGGGGAACGGTATCTGACGGGGGTTATTTGGCCATCAGATACCGTTTCCCCCGTTTAAACTGAGGGAACGGTATCTGACGGGGGTTATTTGGCCATCAGGATGCGTTTCCCCCGTTTAACACAGGGGGAACGGTATCTGACGGGGGTAATTTGGCCATAAGGACGCGTTTCCCCTGTTTTAACACTGAGGGAATACATGTATATATACACATGATAGATAAATGTATAATATATATATATATATATAAATAGGCTATATATATATATATATATATATATATATAGCCTATATATATATATATATATATATATATATATATATATATATATATATATAGGCAATATATATATATATAGGATATATATATATATAGATACATACATACCATACATACAAACATACATACATACAGGTTGAGGATTCCCCCGTCCCGTCGCCTGAGGAAGGTTATTGAAATTGTCGACGTAACACCGGGTGTGGCCTTTTTTAATAGCGGCCAAAAGAGGGGACTGTTGTATTAAATATAGGCTAAAAGGCGATGTGAATTAGATTGACCTGAAATTGAACTCTGTCTGTCTCCAAGCAAAAAGAAAGACCTTGTATTGCCCTACTCCCCTTGTCCCATTTTGTCCAAAGTGCATGGGTGAGTTAATGATAGTTAATCTGGGGGGATTCTGCTAATCCTTTCAAGTTGTGAAAGAAGGAGATGGAGTCCAGAATCTGGAGGAGAAGCCTTGAGATCCCTCTGCCTTATCTCAAAGGAACTAATAAATCGATAGAATTAGGGAGGGGTAGTGCGTGAATGATTTCTGTTCAGGTTTGGCGAGACGGAGGAAAAGGCCGGACCTTGGACCAGACATCTGCCTGATACGACACGCCCCCTTCTTCCCCTTGCACATTTACTTATAATAACCTCATGCTTGTGTTAGTCTAGACCGGACCAGGGACAGGAGTGTGATTTGCGTGGAGCGCCCACCAAAATCATACTTTTATATTTTATATAGAGAATAAGGGATAGTTACTTTTGGTCCGAACAGCTGTTTTAGATTCTTTTTGTATTAGGGAAATAAACCTTTTTGAATTTAACTTTCTGAATCATGGTCATCTTTATAAGGGATTTTGAACACGTCATTTTTTAATATAATAATTCAAACCAAATTGCAAATATAGACTTTCTTGATTAGCCGAGGAATTAAAGTAGGAATGTGACAATAACACAGTTCTGTGAGGTTTTGATACAACAGCAGCTAAAATCACAGCTAATTTAGAGACAAAGCAATGTTTTTTTTTTTTCAAAACAGATACATCAACATCAAATTGATTTTTCTTTTTCTTTGATTTGAATGGAACAGTGTATATTAACAAACAGCAAGTGCAAATGTAATTGCACCAGATTGTACCTGTGGAATCATTTACATTTGTTGTCCCACAGTCGTACGCACAAACAACTACAAACAAACAAAACATGTATTTGAAAAATGTGTAGGTGGAATGTGATGGCAGGACCGAGAAATCCCCAATACAACCCTGGGTACATCCAAGTGCATGTTCTGCTTACAGAGCATGCATTTGGACAGATCCAGATTATTGTAAATGTAGTAGTATATAGTCCAACAGTGTGGTTGTTGACTATCTTTCTTACATTACTGAAGTCAATATAATGGATAATTACAATCCTCTCTCATTTTATTTTCTATAGTCTTTTGTTTGCAGGGGTGGCCATCAATAGCTCTGTAGGGCGATTTAGAGGCTAGTGGACCATAAGGAACGTACAATGACAAAGGGACAGCGGTTAACCCAAGCCTGGCATTGACCCACAAACGGAGTGCTGCACAGAGGAGCAGTGACCCACATTGACACAGACAGACAATCAGCACACAACCGTGAGCCTGCAGCCGGACTCACCAGGACTTTATGTTGTCCGGTGAGGTTTGGTGGTTCACAAAGCAGCTGTGTGTCAGAGACTGTCAGAGAACACGGTACATCTCCGATCAGCACAGTGTAGTTGAGCCTGGCCCCTCCCGATGCAGATGGGACGAGGTTACGGCCCTGCGCGACAAAGAAACATGTCAACACACAGAGCAATTAGCAAGAACAATGTGTCATAACAAGTGCCTCATGTCTTCAGGAGTGGAATTTACATTTTGGGGTCAGTCAGTTACTACGAGCAAATAACAATGGTCTGTAAATAGTGCACTACCACCATCGACTGTATATAGATGGACAATGCTAAGCCCATAGCTCAACAAAGCCCAATAGGGAAGTGCTCATGGGCGAAGTTTAGCTCCAACTCTAACCCTAACCCTGGCTCTTATCGACTTACACTGAAAACTAAACTACTCTAGCTCATTAACTGTTTGTTTCATACTCACTTTTAAGCCTTAGAAAAATCTGTTTTTTTTTATGTTTGGTTTGTAAATCCAGATGTGATGTGATGGATCTTTTAGTGCTTTTAGTCAAATAGCACTTTTACCCTATTTGTGCTATTAGTCAATTTTGAGTTCTTAAATAACAAAACATTGACAAAAGACTATACTGCAAAGTCTGAAAAATAAGTGCAGAATGAGAAGCTACACAAATTCTAGCATCAATAGAATTTCAATTCAAGCGTCTTTAGATTATTGTATTTGTTATTTATAAGGCTTGTTTCCTGCCTAATGTAGCCCTTTGTTGCAGCCCAGATGCAGGGGAGAAATTCAACAGTCTTCTTAAAAATATGAGACATGCTTCTACTCTAATACAATTCCAGGTTTAAAACAGTTTTGTTTCGCAATGAAAAAGACAAAAGCTGATGGCTATATGGCGTACCTTGAGGATGATAGGAGCTCCAGGCTTTTGCTCCAGGACCCCGGTCAGGCTCAGGGGCTCCAGATACGGGTTGGGGTAGTACACAAAGCTGGTGTTGTTGTACGTGAGCAGAGCCTGGACGTTGTTGAAAACAAAGCCAAACTCTTCCACGTGTTTGATGGTCTCCTGGTCCGTGGTGTACTCCGCCTTCAGGGAGGGAGCGAAGCAGCTGATGGTCGTCCGATTCAGCACCTTGCAAACCTACAACACAGAACAGTTAGATATTTAATGTGCTATGGACTTCAATTCCAAACTATATGTTTTATTTACAAGCTGTTTTTTTTTTTATCTGCTGATAATCCAGGACAATTGACATTCACAAACATTTATGGACATTTATCAATATTTATGGACATTGGTCATCCCCGCACCTAATAATAATAATAACAATAATAATAATGCATTGGTTTTATATAGCACTTTTCAGGACCAATGGCTCTATGTGTTTTTTGTCATTGCGTTTATTGTGTACTATTTGAACTTTTTGATTCTCTGATCTGTGTTGGCAAAGTCCACTGAGATAACTGCTGTTGTGATTTCTGGCTATACAAAATTAAATTGAATTGACTTGAATTGCCAATATTGTTGTGTCCCCGCTGAAAGATCAAGGCTTTATACTGTATGCTCACACTGACAGATCTCTGAGACCTGGGTGCAGCTCTGACAGCCACCCCCCCCGACCCAGAAATGGACAAGAAAATGGATGGATGGATGGATATTGTTATAAATGAACAAGCAATCAATCTAGTCTCACTGCAGTTTCTATTGGAAATATTGAAGGTGCATTTTTTCTTGCCAGAGCCATTGTAAAATATGCATTAAATGTATTTATTCATGTATCTATTGATATATTTTAGTTGAACCTCTGAGCGCCAGCCACAAGCCCTCTCTATGAACAAATTGCAAAGAGTCAGAATCAGCCATTAAAAGAAATAAAAAATCAGCACAACATTACATAAAAATTGACTGACCAAAACACCCTTGGAAACCTGCTCATAGGTATTCCTGGGAAAACAAATTTAATTAATAGGAAGTATGCTATTTCCCAACCTTTGACAGCTGGATCCAAACCATTTGAATATTATGCCTCATTAGTCTATATAAACGCATTTTTTTTTTCTGCAAATCCGTTTAATACCAACTAAAAATGTCCTTGAAGCTAAACGCCAAGAGTGTTGTCTGTTAAATTAACCTAATTTCCTGAAATACATCCAAGCACCTTCATCACCTTTTGTTCTAATTTGTGACTGATACTGAAAAGTGAAACAATATTTTGCAAATACGTTTGATAATGAGCTTGCCCTCATTAAATGTATTATGACCCTTTTTTAACTGCTGATTTGTTGAGAGTTCAGATTTAATCCCTGAAGATGTTAATGCAGCCGGAGAATCTGAAATCCACACCGCTTTAATTGACTGGCTCAGATTCTGGGCTGGCATCATTAACACTGAACTTAATTGCCTCAGCGCATTTTTTTGGTACCCATGTCTGCAATTCAATGATTAAGTATTGATGATGTATGTGCAGGCAGTGTGCAAGAATACTACCAAGTGCTTTTACAAATGCTTCATGAAAAAAAGAGCAAGAAAGTGTCTAAGAAATGCCCAAATTCTTGATGTAAAATGTATTTACATAAATCTGCTACAACTATAGTCTTCATCATTATGCGTTTGTTAGCAATTACTACTATAATGCCATTACAATAAATGCAGTTTTGAAAAATGCTGAAAAATGACCTCTTTGGTTATAGGGTAAAATCAGCTTCTAGGAATCTTTGCCTCACTATGAATTATTAAAAGACCATGTAATACATAAGACTGGACTAAAGTTCTGCCTGAAAGTTCCTTCCCTAGACTCCCTTCAGAGTCTTGTGCTGCTGCAGTGAGCCCTCAGGCAACACTCTTGACTGGTCCAAATTGGAAAAGGTAAGGCTAAAGGTGAGTTGACTTTTGCCATCGGGGCTCAGTGCTGTGAAACCATCAATCACTTTGAAGCCACCAACAGCAGAGCTCAGCCTCAGCCTCAGCCACATAAATCACACTGCAAAACTCACTTGTACTTTGTGTATTTTTGTAAATCAATGACTCTCTCTTGTTTCAGTACGCCAAGTATGTGGGGAGAAGTAAAGGCTGGTCTGGAAAGTCACACAAGCTGCTTAAATTAGACTTGTATACAATTGAATGGGACACTGTGTTAATTAACCTCTAGGAACACCCGGTGCCTCAGTGGGGCGGCTGCAGCTGTAAACTGCCAAACTGCTGTTGTGTCTTTAGGCAAGGCACTTCACCCACATTGACAAGAATTTTGTCAGTGTGCCCAGGCAAAAAGGTATTTAACAGGAACAAGTTGCAGAGGAAATACTTATCAATAAGAAAACACTCCGGGAAACACACAGGTTACGAAGCATTGACTTGCCATGTGAAACCAAATCCAGAGTCCAGATTTCCCACTAAGATTAATTAAGCACTCTCTCTTCTCAGCAAGAAGGTCATGGGTCCTTTCTGAGTGGAGTTTGCATGTTCTCCCCGTGTCTGCGTAGTTTTCCTACGGGTACTCCGGTTTCCCCTACCACTAAAAACATGCACAATAGTTCTGGCATGCGCCTCCTGTACTGGCGACCCCGCTTCCATCTTGGAGTGAGAGGACAGAGGCCCACAATTGTAAACCGCTTTGTGACTCTAGTTTGTGAAAGGCGGTATATAAATAAAGATTACTTACTATTTACTACTAATAAGATTAAGAGATCATTAAGGGAAATGTCAGTGTTGCATCAGTATGTTACAGATCAGTATAGATGAGGAGCACACAACACAAGAAAAGTGAACAATAACTACAGTTTATATACGAAAATTAAAGTCTATACACGGAAACGCTAACTTTAGAATAATAAAAAGGCAAGAATAGAATCTCTAACTTTGCATAATAAAGAAGTAAGAAGGAGTCATGGTGAGGATTTTGTTTTAGTTTGACTTCCTGTTCCGCTGTTTGATTGTCTGCCCCGCCCTAATGTGTTTCTCCTGTATCTCTGTCTATGTACTCTGTGTTTCTTGGATTTTTGAGTTTAGTTTTTACCTTGGAATTTTATTTTTCATTCCTGCATTTTTAGTCCTCCTTCACTTCACACCGGTCGTCACAGTAAGAATAATTTACGTTTATGAACTGCTGAATATAAATACAAGTACACAGCTGCCAGAGATTACCAGAGCTATTGACACAACCTTATTGATGCATTATGAGTATGTTGTTGAAACACATCTCTGGACGATCACTTACATTTACAGATTCATGGCCGCCGTATTTGACTCGGACGCGTGGCTCTTGCACAACATCGAGGTTTGTTCCGGTGACCGTCAGTGTGGTGTGTCCACTGTGAAGGGAAAACAAAGTAAAGTGTCAATTAAAACACAAACACTGAACACAAACCGCAGAATGATTTCTTCTTAGCTGGAGAGAAATCAATCTTTAATTTGCAATCTCAACATTGTCTTGCTTTTTTTTGTGTTTGAAGAGTCATAGCTGGCAGGAGTGCTTGCTCATTCTTTGTTTAAAAAGTAGGAAAAGCCAGATCAAACGGCAAAACCAGCTGGCTGCTATTTCATATCCTCCTTTACTGTGAGGCTGGCATGACACAAATACAGGTGCGGCTTGTTTACATATCCGCTAGATCTGATTAGAATAAACGCACTCTCTAATCTTCATATAACCTGTGGCACATTTGGGTAAAAAGGCTGGAAAAGTAGATGGATTGGTAGATAGAACTTTGTCATGACAATTATGAGAAAAAGGGAGAACTGGTCATTTTAGCAAAGAGGTCGAAACGCCATTCCTTAAGTTTAAGTTTATAATATTAAGGACATTGGGCAGTTGCATTAAAAAGATGGCTGCACCAGATTCAGCATCGGGCTACTTTCCATCTGTAGTCCTACCTAGACAATACAATCATACAGACAATCATAGATTCAGTTCAAATAAAAAGTGCAGGGGAGTAACTTACAGTATATATTAAAATACAGCTCAATATAAAGTGCACCAACATATATATCAAAATTATGTTCAATAAAAAGTGAAAGTTACACATACATATAAAAATAGAGTCCAATAAGGTGCAATACTGAGGTACAGTTAGAAGTGAGACCCCTGAAGCTTGGAACTCAGTGTGTTTTTGGTCTTACAATACAATACATTACAATTTGTTCTTGTATAGCCCTAAATCACAACAGCAGTCATCTCAGAGGACTTAACAAAACCGTTGAAATCGCCAACACAGATCAGAGAATCAACAGTTAAGACAAAAAAATATGTCTCAATAACTTTGTGACTGGGGCGACAGTAGCTCAGTTGGTAGAGCATTGGCCTTTGGGCCTGAAGGTTGTGGGTTCGAGCCCACCGTAAGACCTACTTCACGACTCACGCTGATGACTGCTGTCGTTGTGTCCTTGGGCAAGACACTTAATCCCACTTTGCCTGAAGCCCCCACTGAAAGATCTCAGCTCCTGTGGACTCACCACCTGCAGGAGGATCAGTGAGGGGCTGGTGCTCTGTGTACTGGGTGCAGCTCTGACTGCCACCCCCCCCAACCCAGAAATGGATTAAGGGGAAGAAAATGGATGGAACTTTTTGACTGTTTCTGTATCTATATGTAGTTTATGTCTATTTAATTAGTCTATGAAATTATCTCGATCCAAGACTGATCTAGACTGAATCAGAACAATCTCGGCTCGGAGCATGAGGTAGTTACCATAGCAACACACAGCTTACTTGCAGCAGTTAGTATTTAGATTTGTTGCATTTCATTTACATTCACCGGTTTTGGAATGTATTACAAATAAACAGCACTCTGTAATCTTCATAAAACCTGTGGCACACTTTGGGGGAAAATGCCAGAAAAGTCAAGCATGAGGAAAAAGGGGAGAACTGGTCATTTTAGCAAAGATGTTGGAGCGCCATTCCTTCTCTTCTCCCACTTCAAAGACCATGAAAGCTTGGGAGGCTGCAGAGAGGCCACACATTCACCATGAGGGCTCTTGATTGCCGCACCACAAAGCTTCTCTTCTTGCTTGACTGAAGGAGCGTGGTTTTTCTCTGATGTTTTAACCTGTACAGACTCACTGCTGATAATTCCAATGAGAGCCAATGAGAAGGTGTACACTGCAAACATGTGTAGATTAGGAAGGAATACATATTTTGTTTGTTCTCGGCTTTAGTGACAGTTTCATGGTCAGTAGTTTATTTTAGCTGAGATTCCTTGGAAAAACACACATTTCTATTTTTAACTATAACTCACTGCAGTCCATCACAGAAGGGGGTGTGGCTTATGTATTATTACAGACACGTGGTTCAGATAAAATAAAATAAATATACAGCAGACTACTGTACCAGCGACACAACAGTTCAGACTGATTCTAATGTTGATCAGGCTCATGATAATCGCATTCGGACATTGATTCTGCAGACAAATAAATAAATCTGTAAATCTGAAAAGTCAGAATCCCATCACATTTCTACGATCACATGGTATAATGCTGTTGTTTAGTTTCCCCATCAAAAAGGTCCACACGATTACTTAAAGTGGATTCCTTTTACTTTCGAATTGTGAAAACAGTCTCCATGAAGACAGGCACTTGTTAGACCCGCCCATGCTCACCGCAGCAGCCTTCTGATTGGTCAAAATAAATTAAAAACTTTGTAGTGGGTCTGCTAAGGTATTATTCTCTACTCATAAATAGTATATTATAGAATTTGTGTCTTAATGTCTTTGTCTATGCGTGTAAACTGTTTGTTGTGCTTGATTCACTAAGTTATAGTCGTAGTTATGAGAAAGGAGAGATGCAATTGTAATAAAATTGTAGTTGAAAAATACTTAAATACCTTGATCATGGGACATTGGACATAATTGTAGATTGTGTTATGGTCAGAAATGCTTCTTATTTGTGTCTAAATCTCTTTTTTGTCTATACCTCTTATGATGTCAAAATGAGCTCATTTTGACATCATTGTTCATTTATCTTGTAAGTAAGTAAGTAAGTAAGCTTTATTTATATACCGCCTTTCACAGACCAGAGTCACAAAGCGGTTTACAATTGTTATTTTTTGGGCACTTGTCCTCTCACTCCACACAGAGACAGGAGTGGGGTCGCCGAACAGGCGGCGCATGCCAGACTTATTGTACATATTTTTAGTGGTAGGGGAAACCGGAGTACCCGGGGGAAACCTACGCAGACACAGGGAGAACATGCAAACTCCACTAAGAAAGGCCCTGGTCCGGCCGGGATTCGAACCCAGGACCTTCTTGCTGAGAGGCGAGAGTGCTATCCACTCAGCCACCGTGCCGCCCTGAGCTGTACGTTGTGCTGTGTGTTTTCCTACTTTTCTGTAACTGGTGACGCAACACTGACATTTCCCCACAGTGGGACGAATAAAGGATCTCTTAATCTCAATCTTATACATTATTTCTAAGAATAAATAAAATAGGTTTCAAATACTATATAAAACAGCTCAATAATCCTGTATTAACTTTATACCACTTTTTTAATTAACAATTATGAGGAAGGTAATTAAAGGAAGTAAAAAAACATCCCATTTCTGGTTGAATTATATATAAAAAATACTAATAACCTTTATTATATACATTTCATTTGTTGTTTATTGATTGCGGTCAAAGAAGTCTCATTTTTTGGTCACCTGTTGGAGACTGACGTTCTTTGAAATATTTGCATGATGATTGCTGTGGCCATGATTTCTGTGTAACTTCCCAATCAGCAGGCAGAATGATTATCTGTGCTCGGCTCGCTGCCATATTAAGAACATCTGTTTGATTTTGATCATTTTGGCTTGGAAGGGCACAGAGTTTGCAAAATAGTTGAATATCAAAGACTCAGCGGTGAATAAGTAGGATATTTCCGTGTAAATACACACACATGGATTCATCTGTGTTTCTCTTACTAGTAGCAGTTTAGTAGTAGTTATTATTATGGGTATTACTATCATTAATATTCCAAAAACAAAAGGCGTTTTGGGCTGAGCTGAAGCATTTATTACTACAAGTTAGAAAAACCAAGAAACGGCAAAACATCTGCATTCAGCTTAAAGTCAATTTAATACATTTTTTGGATACAAGATGAATTACTAATGTTATGATTACTGGTATCTAAGCACTGGTTCTGAATATGTGGGCTTTTTACTGTTAACCGAGATTTTAATTATTATCAAACCCGCCATTCTGAATGTATCCAGTAAAGTACAAGGATTTATTTCAAAGTTATGTATACCAAAATAAAAAAAAACGAACCACATTTTGAAAAAGAAACAACAAGGTTTAAAAAGGGGTTGGATGAAGCAGCTGTTGATTTGTTGCTAAGATGTGAAGTGTGTGTTGTTAAAGCAGCAACAATAAATGGAATCTTAGTCCAACAACATTGGAGAAACAATAAAATATATAAATGTTTGAATTATCTTTTTATTTCCAAGCAATACTCCTTTGTTTCTAAAATCTTGTTTCATGGTGGTCCCATCACATGTTATGAAGGACATTCTGGCCTCTGGATGGAGTAAATGAATCATTATGAAGCATCACGGAGCCTCATCTGAACATCACTGTTAATTGGACTTTTTGTAACTTTGCAGAATACATAGCCTGGCCTTAGCAATCCGTACACTCCGCTCAATCATCATATCCTGCATGTAGCGTCTGGGTCTGGTCCCTGTGTTTGTGATTACTTCGGTTGAATTCCATCCGACCAATGAGCGAGCGCAGGAGGTGGGTGTTGTAGTTAGATGTGGGTGACAACAAGAGTTTGCACCAAACGGGCAGGTTGTAGTTTGGCAATGGCAAAGAATGTGATAGAAAAGTATTCCGGTCTGGTTCAATCAAGAAATTGAAGCCGGAGCAAGAGGAATGTTTAGCAAATGTAATTGCTGGCATAGCGGGCTCTGTTAGCGGGCTCTGTTAGCGGCGAGGAGATGGCTAGGCTAAATGCTAACAACTCACTCAGATGCATTACATACGTGACGGTAAACTCAGATCCAATCGTTTCAATCTGCAAAAATAATTAACCCCTCCCACCTGTTAACGGAGCTTAGTGCGAAATGTAATTTGTACTATGGTATGATACGACCAGGCTACAGATTGCCCCCTCTCATCTGTATTACCTGGTGATGCTCCACAGAGGATCAATGCGCTGAACTGTTGGATCCTCGATGTACTCAAACGCCAGACTCCCCGGTACTTTGGCTCGGTCCACTGTCAGAGAGACCTGCACTGGCCCCGCCCCCGTCAGCGATGGCGCAGAGAAGCACACAATCTCCGACATGGTCCTCCTGGGGGCGACAGGCAGATTTATTGTTCTCTTTGATTGTGATCACCACGGTTACAGCTGAAGTGGTTAACCCGCGGCTTCACGCAGTTTTGAGCCCCCACATTAGTATGAGTGGAAGGGATCCATCAGGGCTGTCCCATCCCCTCCTCGTTAGACTCGCATTAACCATGGAACAGTGTAATTAGACTGAGCTCAGGCTAATGGCTCCATTGTTTCATCCACTGACTGCGTGAGTGGGGTATTTTAAACTTCAAATACAGCTAAAAATACCCTCAGTCATTGCTCAGGGTTTAAGAATACATTATCAGGGCATCTTATTTCAACACAAGGGCAAATGTTAGTATAATATGATTGAGTGCTTTAAGTCAAGACACACACAGTTATAAATATGTATATTAATAATAATAATGATAATAATAATAATAATAATAATAATAATAATAATGATAAAAATGATAGTAATTCTTTCCTCATACTGTATGTCTGTACCTACTTTTACACTTGTATATATAAACAAATATTTAGGATTTTTCTTGTTATTGTATAACAGGGGTCTCAGGAACAACCAGTAGCTCGCCCCCTCTTTCCAAGTAGCTCCCCAAAGGATTTAGAATATGCAAATATGCTGAATAATCTTACATTATACAAAAATACCCTAATACATTATACTAGAGTTGTAAGGCAAGAAATGGCTCAACTTTGGTTTTGTATTCATTTTATTTTTGTATTTATTTTGACAGTCGTAAAAACATTTTCCAATGAGACATGTAATAAAGACTACACTGAAAAAAGTGATTCAAAATTAGCAAAAAATGTATAAAATTTGGAGAAAAAAAATTAACTATATTTGAGCACATTTTGATTTCCTTTAAACAAGATTTGCCAATGGGACAAGCAAAACAATCTTGTTTTAAAAAAAATAGAAATAATACCGCATGTCTCTTGAAATGAGAAATCAAAGCAACGGTTCTTGAAATAAGACAAATTGGCTTGTCTCATTGCCAAATGTTGTTTTAAGACAGATATTTCAGTGTAAAGCTGCTTGTCCGATAAAAGGGAAAAGGTTGGAGTATATTGTTGTTACATTTTCTTTTCTGTCCCATAGTTGAAACTTGTGGTGAAATTACATAGATACCAATTACATTTAGTAATTACTTCTCCTAACGCAATCAAAGAATGTGTTTTGTGGATTAGTGGTTTTGATCGATCAGCGCCACTGAATGGAAATTGAAACACACTCGTATAATTATGCAGAATCACTCACCGGAACACGTCGCAGGTCTGGTTGCCAAAGAGCACAGTCACGGTACTTCCAGCTCCAAGGTTCTCTCCAACAACAGTGACTTTAGTGCCCCCAGACTCAGGACCTCTGCCTGGGGTCAACGCCAACATTGAAGGAGTCTGTAAAAAATGACAAAAATGATGTAACAAAAATCTCTGGTTTATACAATATGGAATTGGACTAAACAGAGGCAAGGCAAGGCAAGTTTATCTGTGTAGCGCAATTCATACAGAAGGCAACGGGACAAGACAAGATAGCATTAAAATCATAAAGAAAAATCACAGTACATTAAAGATACAAATATAAAAATATAAAATCCCTCAGTTGTATGCACAGAAAAACAGAACTGTTTTTAAACTGGATTTAAAACATTGTCAGAGAGGAGGCCTGTCTCACATTTTAAGGACGATTGTTCCAGATTTTAGCAGAGACTTCAAAGCACTACTGGATTTTCCTTTTCATTTTTATTTTTTCATGCAGATCTATCTATCTATCTATCTATCTATCTGGCTTTTTATCTGCAAATCTATCTTTTTATCTACAGTAAATGCTTTCTCCCTGAACAGCACCTGAATTTTACCAATGTTAGAACTTGTTATTACATAATTTATTGTTTATTTGGTTGGGACAGTACACCACTCCGGATTGTAGCCATGAGCATCCGTTGTCCCACATTCGCACCTCATCTCTCCTCATCCATTTCTTTGAGCAATTTAACTCATCAACGCCGTCCTTTTGCCCTAACCCTAACCCTGCACCCAAACCAAATTCCCAAACAAAAGCCCTCCCTTCCACCCGCCGCTCCTCACCACAAAGGAGTACATCTGGGAGGACTGAGCTCGCAGCTCGGGTCTGCACTGGCCAACACACAACATCACTGGTCCCGGCGCACTTTCTCTGGGGGCTTCTGCCATCTCGCACACAATCCTATCAAAAACAAACAACAAACACGTTCATATACATTCACATTTCAGCTTTATGCATGCAGGAGATAAACACACAAGCATCTTTTATGTATTGCGCAGGAGGAGGAAGAGGAGGGGGAGGGGGAGGGACAGAGAAGATGGCCTCTCCGGTCGACGTGATTGAGGCAGACTTTCATGGAAGTTGTGGGTCAATACGACGGGCCATCTTTCTTCCTAATGGGAAACCTATAACAGCAATATAACTCACATGATAAAGTACACCCCTCCCTCGTCTCCGGCAAGATCGCCACCCACCATTACCTCGCGTTACCATGACAACGCAAAGGGTTGTCTCCGATAAATCAGTATTGCCTGTCAGGTCAATAAGACAAAGTGCACCATGAATAAGTCATTATAGCAACTGACCCCATGCTGATATTAATGATTGGAACAGCCGTAATGCCATGTTTTAGAACTCTAAGCGCGTTGTATAAATGGTTTCGGCAAATGCGGAGCCACACGCACCAATCGAACTGTGCGTTTTTTTCCACCATACAATAAGAGCAAACGATGAATTGTCCCCAGTGAGCCATTACATTCATACATCACGTGAGTTTTCCAATTTTCTCCCGGCGTGTCCTTTCTGTTCTTTTTGCCCACATGGATATAAATAAAGTCCCAGCAGTTTCAGCGCAATCATATTACATAGCTGCGAGAGAGGCACATGGCTAACAGATTGTCCCTCCAGCCGGCAACACGCCCTGCATTTCAATTACAGCTGCGGCCCAAGTCCCATATCAACAATGATACAAAGACTGCCTGCTCCCTTAGCATATGACTACATCAATGCAACACACTGTCTCCATTAGGCTACAACCTGCTGTTTCATCCTGGAACATTTCTTTTTTTTCTTTTACAAATACTAGTCCTGGTGAGATGAAAAAAAATTAAAGAAAAAATCTAAGGTCGATTCTCCATGAATGCAGAAGCAATGGCCACCACGCATTTGCCGGCTAACGAATGTGCAAATGTGTTTTTTTCACAATTTCCTGCCCCTGCGCCCATATAAGGGAAAAGAGGTGGCACATTAGTTTAACCGGCGGAGATAGGCTTGACTACGTCCGTTAATGTTTACAGTTTATGGCTTTTTAGTGGTGAACTGGAGCACTTGCAAGAAACCTACACAGACACAGGGAGAACATGCAAACACAGAAAGGCCCACCGTGAAGCACAAGTGAAAATACAAGTATACAAGTTTAAATCCTAATTTGAAATCTGCTGATGGAAAAGGCAAGTGCATTTATAACCCTTGAGTGAAGATTTGCTTGTCATTTAATTTTCCCATTGCAAAACTAGAAAAGTCACAATTCGATATTTCTTCATGATCATGCAGCCATACTGTGTACTCTTCAGGGTTCATATGTGGCTTCTCTGACTTACTGTTCTGCTGTGATATAGCCTTCTTCTTGCGGCGTGCACGGGACTCCTGCCACCTCCACGTTTCCCTCCAGCTCAGAGAAGGACAGTCCCAGGTTAAGACCCTGGATTGTCACCAACGTGCCCCCCTCCAAAGGTCCAGCGATGGGGGTCACCTGCAAACAGGACCATCAGGGTGTGATTACAAAGAGGGCACTCGCTCCTGGTTCGGTGAAAGTCCAATGAAGTTCTGTACTTTTGGTTTGATATAAAGTGATTTGTTTGATTTACACTGCAAACAAATGACAAAGAGTCCAATGTGCTCGGATTAGGCTCAATATGTTTTCAGTTTTAAACAGGTTTCGTCAATGGGAGAAGCAGAAATGTCTTTCTCTTTCTGGGCAAGAAAAAAGTGCTACTATCCATGAAATAAGAAATACCAAAATATAGAACCAGAGTCAGAACTAAACATGGGGATGCAGCATTTCAGATTTATGTAATTTTCTCCTGTGTGAGATCAATAAAGTCAATCTTATCTTATCTTATGCAGCTAAAATGTGGAGCAAGTCTTCCTGAAAATGTGAGACAAGCTTCTTCTTGACTGTAAGGGCTTAACATGAGACACCATGGCATATTATTAGTAAACTAATTTTGCTAAGAAAACATATCATCATTCATTCTAAACACTGATGACAAAATGCAATTGGTGAGATCTAAATAAAAAGTCATAGTAAGGCATCATTCTAGAATAACAAGCGTTTTCTTACATTCAGTCCCTAATTTAGTTAAAAATACCTCCATACTGTTACAAATGCATAACCACATATGTAAAACAGCTAGAAAGAAGCATTCTATTCATATGTGTTAATTAACATTTTGGTATAATATCAGCCCCTACGCTGCAAAAAATATGACAGAATATGTAAGTAAGTAAGTAAGTAAATAATCTTTATTTATATACCGCCTTTCACAGACCAGAGTCACAAAGCGGTTTACAATTGTTATTTTTGGGCACTTGTCTTCTCACTCCATAGAGAGATGGGAGCGGGGTCGCCGAACAGGAGGCGCATGCCAATCCTATTATACATATTTTTAGTGGTAGGGGAAACCGGAGTACCCGGAGGAAACCTACGCAGACACGGGGAGAACATGCAAACTCCACTCAGAAAGGCCCTGGTCCGGCCGGGATTTGAACCCAGGACCTTCTTGCTGAGAGGCGAGAGTGCTATCCACTCAGCCACCGTGCCGCCCACCATGAGGTAATAATTGCTGGAATCGAGGCTATTGCTATGTTTACAGCTAACAATGTTCCAGGTTGAAAATAGTGTAGCTATACATACACCTGATGGATTTTATCTTTTAATGCCTTGTATTATTTCTTTTTAGTTTTGTTCAGCACTTTGAGTTGCCTTGTGTACTGTATAAACTATGCAACAAAAATAAATTTGCCTTGCCTTGGTCATGGCCAGTTTGACTATTTCCCCAGCTCTATCGGAAATTCTCTCCTCTTCTCATCTACGCTTTTTTTTTCAGATTAATAAAACATGCATCTGCCTCCCAAATCCATTGAAATACAGTCTAAACAAACGTGAATGCATAAAATATTCCCATAGACACCTCCAGTCACATTATCCGTCCTTTCCTGTATTAAGTGAAACTTCCCAGCAGGAATCCTCTAGACCTGCCGCGCTGAACAGGGGCTACAGCGGCGTGACACTGGCTGCTCTCTACTGTCGATTCATCGGCTCCGGCTCTTTCAAAAACACTAATAACATGACAGGGACTTCAAAGTGTCTGGGGCGCTTTGAAGTGGAGGAGCCTTGCATCTCTGTGCCTGACCCACTGTGCCTCATTGTGGAAGAATGAGCCGGAGTTAGTGGCATAAAAGATCCATCTCTTCTCTCTAAACAGTCTGAATGTGTTTATCTGTAGCACGTTTAGTAGGTTCAGACACTGTGCAAAGAGAGGGGAGAAAGACCGAGGGGAACACACACTCGGAGGGGAAATTGGAAAGGACTCACAGACGCAAAGCTGCTGTTCTAAAGGGAACAGGTTGGCAAGCTGTGTTTTGATCTGAGTGAGAGAGAGGGGAAGTGAAACGCATTCGGGGGACTACATTTGCAGGGAATTTTGCTATATCTGAGGCAAATATGAAGTTTGTTATAGATACAAATCAAGATTCATTGCATATTTTTTGTGATAGAATGGACTTACTATGGTTGTTGCTTACCATGCAAGTTTGGAAAAGGCATACACACATCCAAGCAGTTGTTAGAGGACATAGTTACGGTTTTCTTTAGAGTTCTTGGAGGTCAACACAGCTAATTGCTCCCACTTTTTTCATTATTACTTTCTGCAGAGAGGTAAGTTGTTGTAGAATGCAGAATCTGACCTACATATTGTGCACTGTATTACTGCTATACATTAGTATCTGAAGAACGGAGCGCATTTGTTCTGACCCACACTGCTAACCAATCTATATCTGAAGCATGTGTCATTAATCTCAAGTGAAAACGTCTCTGTTCTTATGCACATTGAAACAAATCATAAACAAATCTTTGTCTCCTTTTGTTTGATCTGGAAGGACTCAAAAATAAAACGGTCATTTCTTGACACAGACATCCACAGATATCCTTTTTTAACATTGTACCTTTTGTAAGTCTATCTTAAGTGATAATAAATGGTGCCATATAAGTATAATGTATTATCATATTATTGTTTATCTGAAGATTTATTGGCCTGACTCCTGACTCGTGGCTTGTGTACTTAAAGAAACTCAAACAGCCATTATGGTACTTCCACAGAGTTATCCAGCCAACTTCAGCCCACTCTCGTCATTGAGTCGAGAACCTAAACTCAAGGCCTTTCTTTTTTTTGTTTTTCTCTTATTGTCTGTACTGCTGTGGTCATTTACAGTAATTATCGTAAAGTCTTTGTAAATAATGTGAAAATATAATGTTGGCATAAAGCTTAGAATGTTAACTTCAAGAATTCTGAAACTCCAAGAGCAGTCATTTTGACGACTCCCATTTTACAGTTTTAGGTTTTCAATACAATTAAGATTAAGTAATTTAGTTTTTATCTTTAATACACGGAAACACTGTTTAATAGAAATGTAATATACAGTAACTAAACTAAATGCAAACGACTGCATGTAAACAGTGTGTTGCTATGGTGACTAGCACTTGCTTCAAGCTGAGATTAACCAATCACAGAACAAAATCTTTTCAAAAACACAATAACATAGGATTAGGGTTATAAATAACACATAAAAACAGAAAAAGTTTCAAAAACGTGCATAAGGGGAGTAATTACACTTCCAAAACGCAAAGCTGTCAAATTGACTGCTCTGGGACTTCTAGTGTTAGGCTTCAACTTGTTATTGGCTTCTGTTTCATACTGGACTGAGCAAATTTCTACTTTTTCCTATTCCAGTCCTGCATAATTCCCAATCCTGGCAGGTTCGCTTACAATTTGGTCCCAATTTCAACATGGTGTGTGAGCAACATAGAATTGTGTAATTTATACAACTAGAATAAAAAATATCTACCGTAAATGTAACGCTGTATTTTCTTTCAATGTCTTAAAAATGACATTTCTCCAAAAACAAAGCAGGCTTAGAAAAAGTTATACCTCCCGAATGGTCTATATTTTGTGGGCTTGCCATTTTCAAGCTATATATTGGCCCTGGCCTCCAACTCTTGTCAGTGGGGTGGTTTATAGACAGCCCACTTGTAAACATTTTGCTTTTACTCAGAGTCTAGAGAGAGAAAGAGAGAGAGAGAGAGAGAGATAGAGAGTGACTGGGCAAATGTCCAAGTCCACAACAGACCTCAGTGATGCGTGGGTTGGTGCACTTGACACTCCGGGCAGACAGGTCCAGCCACCGGCCAGCATAGGGGGTGGGGAGGGGGGTGCAGTGCTGCTTGAGGGTGCACTTGCCCTCGCCACTGCACCAGCCGCACTGAAACTTCCTGTCGGCTCGCAGACACATCCCACAGCTGTCCCTCTGGGCGCTGCATTTGTACAGGTGCACTGTGGGGCGGGGAAAGCGGGAGTTTAGTTTTCAATACCATAGACAGCCCTGAATCACAACAGTAGCTATTGAGATTCAGATTGTAATTAAGAGGTCCTTTATTTGTCCCACGGTGGGGACATTTCAAGTTACAGACACCAGGAATGAGAGCACACAGTACAAGATAAATCAATAATAGCTCTACACTAAAATAAAATCTCTGACTCTTGCATAAAAAGAAGAAGTATAAAATCTCAATCTTTAGCATAATAAGGAAAGAAGTCTAACATCTTCAACTTCAGCATGATGAAGAAGCAAGACTTAGTAACTCCTGACTATAAAATACTGAATATTCAAGTGTCTTGGAAGACTTTACAAAGCTGTCGATTCGAACACTTTCTCTGATCTGCGGAATTGACAACTTTGTAAAGTCCTCAGAGACTACTTCTGTTGTGATTTAGGGCTATACAAGAATAAATTGAATCTTGTCTGTCACTGAAAGTGCTAGCTGCAAATATGACAAATGTAAAGAATGGAATTTCACCTAAGAAATTTGCAATATGAAATTAGGGACAATAATTTTGATTACATTTTGTTTTGTGAGTGTGATGTCCTACTGCTACAATTAGATTATATCATTACAAGACAGAGACAACACTGCACAAAATATAAAAAAATGAGGTAATGATTCAACTTAGTGTTTTTTTATCCTTTGCCAAAAGGGACAAGCTGTTTATTCTTATTAGTCTCATTCCAAGGGAGATATTTCTTGTATTCTTTAAAACAACATTATTTTGCTTGTCCCATCTTGTTTTAAAACTGTCAAAAAGTGCTCAAAAGAAAATACATTTGGCCAAATTTGAGCAATGGTTGACTCATCACTTTTTGCAGTGAGGAGCTTTCAGACAGAAGATGGATGGATCTAAAAAAGCAACTCCAGGACTTTTTTGGATGAGAGAGCAATGTTGTAACGTGGTTAAAAGCTCAATTTTGAATATACCTCCTTCTACTGTAAGTGCCATCACATTCTTTTAGAGTGTGTTGTGTGTGCATGATGACAGGGCCTGGTAAAGTAATAGCCATCCTTGAGGTGCCCACATTGACAACACACGATGATGGAGGGGAATTTGATACAGAGGTCTGAAAGCCACCGAGAGTAAATATGAAGCTCCGTCCTTCACCTCTTCAGCTGCAGAGTGAGTGGGTGTTTTTTGACAACACTGGCCACTATTGTGAACTTTCTCTCAAGGCCCTTTGGGTGCCTTGAAGTGCTCTCTATAACCCATCTGTCCCACATGGATTGAGAGTTTTATGCTTCTCTGGGCTGGCAGTGATGGATGGCAGACGCACCTTTAATCTTCTCAGGATTGTCGATGATGAAATTGCCGTTCCAGACGATGGAGAGGTCCACTGCCAGGTCACTGATCTTCACACCCTCGTACATGTACTGAAAGTCACACAGAGTAACACACTGAGCCCAGAAGTGGTGTGGTAAAGAAACGGCGACGTAAAGAAACGCGGCATTGCAGGATGAGTGGAAGAGAGGGCCGTGGCGAGACGAGGCTTTTAAGCATCTGTCATCTGTGCCATGCCTGTCTGCTCCGCTCCTCTCGTACACACGGGACACAGACCCAGCTCACGGTGCCCAATGATCCACATCTGAAGAAAATGGCCTTTTCTTTCATTGTGGCGAAAAGCATGAGGTGTGTGATGAATTACAATTTGCCATCCCCTTTGTGACAAAAGCATCGTTCACTCTGAAGTTCAGTTTAACAGACCAAAACAAAATGATGTGAGTGGCTGCATCTTAGTGAGATAATTAACAGTTCAATGCAGACTATGAATAATACTGAATGAATACCTTTATAGCCTCATTAGACTTGCCAATGCATAATTTAATCTCCGCCTTAACTTGGAGATTTCTCCTAAAATAATTGATGACTCGTTCGGCCACACTGGAAAAGCCACGTTCCAGCTTCTCTGTTCGTTTATGCGCAGGACATCTCGTTTTGGTAACAGTAATTTACGAGTAATAATAAAACAGTAATAATCATAACAATTTGTAATTTTATGTAATTGTGTGTAACTTTTGCTGCCTCATGTCTAGGACTTAATCTCGATGGGACTTTCCTGGATAAATAAAATCATCATAAAAATTAAGCTGAATAAATAAACAGCTTCTTTCCACAAGCTGTTATCAGTTAAAACAAAACTCTTTAATTGCTTTTTTTTTTTTAATTTCACATTGGTTTTTGTACTTTTTTAGCTTGTTTTAGTCCTGTACTTTTCTGGTGCACAGCTGGGACATTTGCAAATGTGTTCTACTGTGGTTTTATAATTATACAGAGTTTTCGTTGAGTTTACAAGTTGCATTATCTTAAAATTATAAAATATAAACATAGGCTAACATAATCAGCACAGGAATATGGCACATTATTACAATTCTAACTTTATACAAATGTTAACCTCAGCATTATAAAGAAGCAAGTATAAAAGGGCTAACTTTAGCATTATAAAGAAGTGAGTATACAATATTTTAACTTTAGCGTAATAAAGAAGCAAGTATAAAATCTCTAACTTTAGCATAAGTAAAGATCAAGAAGCAAGTAAAACCTTAACTTCAGTATAATAAAGAAGCGAAAAAAATCAGATGGGTCCAAATAGGTCAGAATGGGTCGCTCCCTCTGACCCGGTGTATGTCTGGCTCATGTGACTGTGGTGCGTTCGAGGACTGTGGGTGATTTCATACCGAGCTGTTCTGGCACTGGACACTGGTGCTGTTGAAGCGCAGGGCAGTGACTCTGTGGCTGGAGCCCTGCATATGCACCACGCACTCGTACCCTCGCTGGCCCGACTGCGGCTGGGGCAGGTTCCGCGCCCTCAGAGTGATGGGACGCACCACTCCGGCTGGGATCAAGATCTGTCCCGAGTTTAGAAGCTGAGGACAGTCCTGCAGAAATAAAATGTGCTCTGGTGACATTTAAAATACTGTAGCAAATGTAACAAAACGTCAAGGATCAAGCTACAACAGCACAGAAACAATTGTCAGTCGGAAATCGAAGAATAATTTAACTGCTTTGTTTAAACTTATAGCGGATTGTGTCGAAAGAAGCTGTTAGCAAAACGAGATTGCCTGCATCTCAAGGAACCATGACAATTGTTTTTTGCACTTTTTAGCTTGTACTTTTTTAGCTTATTTTATTCTTGTACTTTTTAGTTTGTTTTATTTGCTGTATGTACTTGTTTGGTGCTCGGCAGGTTCTATTTCACATGCATAGGAGGACAGGAAAGTTGTAACATTAGCAAGGGAGAGCAGAATGCGAAAGTTTACAACAACCAGGAAAATTCATGTCACGGCGGGCACAGCTGGGAGACCTAATGCGACTGAATCTCACGTCTGCACCTCCCTCCAACACATCGCCCCCACTGGACATCTGGGCTTTTCAAAGTGGGAAGCTCACCTATATCAACCTTGCCTAGGTGCCGCGGTCAGTCTGTATATAAAGCCTTTCTGGGCCGATGCACACGCCAACTTCAGCTTTAGGTTGTGCTTGTGAACGCAGCCTCAGTATGTAACATGATTGTGTGCGTACCTCTGAAGCGTTGACCCTTCCCTCCTGGAAAGAACAGCTGCTGGGGTCGTGGGTGCACAGGTTTCGATATTTACACCAGTGACATCGGAAGGTGCTGCTCACACACGACAGGCAGCTGCAAGAAAAGTACAAATAAATCATTGTTTGTCAAAAAAATGAAGGAATACACAAAAAAAGGCAATGCATAACAATGTATACAGTCATAACGCATAAGATAAGATAGACTTTAATGATCTCACACGGGAGATATTTACAGAAAGATTACTTATTTATTTAATAGTAAGCTCAATTCACATTACGCATGAAAATAACTGAAAAAGCAACACGTCACGTAACATCACAAGAGAATGAGTGGAAGACGCTTTTATGACAGACGCCAAAACGTACATGCACAAAAATGTTTGTAGCCAAAATGTTAAGAGATATTTTACAAACTGTGCATGCAAATTATAGAACAGGACCCATACGATACTACAAACGCCAATAAACGTAGCACAGAATCATTCAATTTTGATGTTAATGAGCCGCCCAGGGCTATTGTGGACTTAATGTAGGCGCTTGTGTGTGTGTGTGTGCGCGCGCTTGTGTGAATGTGTGTTAAAGAGGGACATTTCTAAGCTGGGTATTAATAGAAGTAGACTGACAGGGCGCTGCTCCTGCCTGGATAATTAATTATGCCGGTGATGTGATGCTCAGGTGTTTCTGGGGAGCGGGTTGGGGTGATTTTTGGACTGAAATATTCACAGGAGTTCAGCGGGTCACCTGGCAACTAATAGAATCATGAATGAGTCTTTAGGCTGTGGAAATGTGCTCCCAACAGTTTCTAACTAATGGCTTCATGTGATTATTAGTATCTGGGCATTCGGAACAAGCATGAGGGGATAGCGTGAGGGCTAATTTTCTGAATCCGGCTTTAACACGCTCCATTAATCATGCATCTCCTCCCACAGTGAACATCCAACAAGACTCTTATCACGATTAAAGGTTAGTGAGGTGCAGAGGGAATCTCGCAGGACAAATGGAAGTGATGTCACGTAAAATGCTTTTCCAGTTTTATTACTGCCGTTTTGTTTTATTTACTCACTTTTTTTTACTTGTGAGTTTTGGTATTTGGCACTTCATATAATTTACCATTGTATAGAACAAGGGCTAAACCAGTAACACGCCATCTTCCAAATAACTTTCAAAACTAAAGTCAGAACTAAACATGGGGAGGCTGCTTTTCAGATTCATGCTGCTAAAATCTGGAACAATCTTCCTGAAGGTGCGAGACAGGCCTCCTCTCTGACAATGTTTAAAACCAGTTCTGTTCAGCTGTGCATACAACTGAGGGATTTAATATTTTTATCTTTCTTTTTAATGTACTGTGATTATTTATGATTTTAATGCTTTCTTATATTGTTCAGCACTTTGAGTTGCCAACTTGCCTTGTGTATGAATTGTGCTATACAAACAAAGTTGCCTTGCCAAAAGGATTTAGACGTGACAACTGCTGAACATACTGTATCTAATGTTATGATTGACTTTGATTAAAAGAAATCAGAGAAATCACTCAGGTCCAGAAAAGACAGTTCTTCTTTGTTAAAGGTCCTGTATGTCTGAATACAATGTTTATTTTGTGTTTGTGACCGAGCCTCTGTTATTGCAAGACAATTTTCAGACTTGCATTTTCAGTCTGACAGAAATGTTTATCCTATTATCTTATATTATCTTCACCTTGTAAGTGCATACTTTGACATGCACTCATGGATAATACAGAGGTCACTGCATTTTTTTGGACTAGATAGCTCCACATTTTATCAACCCAATTTATTTCAACCTTGTCTAAGGAGCAGCTCTTTACTATTTTTATTTTTCATCCCAAAAAGTAGCACTCTTGAGATAAAAGGTTGGAGACCCCTGATTTAGAATATAATCAACTATTCACACTCAGGTGCTTTTGAAGGATACACTGCCCCGCGGGTCACAAACCTCCTGAGGCTGCGCGCTCACACTGCACGCTTACAAAATGATTTCAATTGTCCTTAAACAATTATCCATCATAAACAGCAGACATCTAAAGCAGCACAGTTTGATTGATGGCGATGATAAGAAGAAAGCGAGATAAACGCAGACTGCGAGAGTGTAAAGGGGCTCATGTTGTTCACTCAGGCTTAAGCAGAAAAATGCTCCTAATTGGCATTCATCCCACCAGGATCCACCTCTGTGCGAGTATTTGATATTCAGACGGGGGTGCTCATGCCATTGTTTACCACTATAGTAAATACAATTGACGTGAACGTAATGGTTCAAAGTCAAAGCTTTCCTGCCCAGACAGAAGCTTCAATTACTGCAGCGATGAGCATTTCAATGAGGTGTGTTTCATTTACTGTGAAAAGTGACTGCCGAGCCAAAATCTTAAATGTCAGATTCGCTCCCAAAGGGCCTCCTCAGGGAGAAACATCACAAATAGAGTGTGGGTCTAATTGTCATCAGCACAAAAGTGTACGCAGCCATAGCAAGAGCTCTGGCGTAGAGTGTGCTTCTGTAATTGTTTCGGGCTAAACTGTTTGTTATTTTAATTCACAGAACATAAATGATTTAATATCACCTGAGGAGTTTTCTCTATGTGTATGTGTTGTTGTCATTGTTTGAATTTTAACCCTTTTGGCGCCGTAGAATTGTTACTTGTTATGTTATACTTCAGCCTAATCCCTTCGGTCACAAATGCGTTTGTCTGTCCAAGTATGTACTGTACATTAGCTGATATAAGCTAAACTGTTTATTAACCTTGTCCAAGTATGTACTGTTTATTAACCTTGTCCTTTTTTGATGCTTTTTTAATGTCAAAAAAATTGTCAGACCGAATAAACAAACTTACTACTACTACTACTCGAGCTTCTAATTCCAAGACACTTTCTATACAGCGACTTAGCTTCACAGATAAATCGGCCAACATTATTGATGAAAGTAGTTCACTATCTCCCATTAAGTTATAGGATGTCATCTATTGTCTTTCTTAAAGGGTTAAAATTGGACTCCAAGAAGAGAATCGGTCCATTTGGTGGAACCATAGAATATTGTAGAAAAGTGAATTATTTTTGTAATTAAAATTAAAATGAGAAACCAACATATAAACCCTTTGATTGCTGTCATTCTGGTGTTTAAGGCGTACAGCCCATTTTTAGAATATTCAAAGTATTTTAGATGTTTTATTTGGGGTTATTTCAAGATGGGGATAATCCAGGACACAAATTCAACGGTTTTGTAAAGTCCTTTGAGATAACTATTGTTGTGATTTAGGGAATTGAAAGCACTTTGCATGTTATATCTCTGTGATTTATTAGTTTAACATTGTGAAGTTAGTACAGTACAGAAGTAAATGTAATGAACACATTGTGGGGATCCAGAGAAATATAAAACCGAATAAACAAATCTACACTCAGAGCTTAGGAAATATATTGTCATTTGTTACCGCAGTTTATCTAACCAGTGTTGTAAAGTGGACGCCAAAAAACACATCGGGCTTGGAATACATTTAAATCTCTTAGACAAACTCTTAAAGTGCCACTTAAAACAAATCCCCAAACAAACGAGCCGCAGCAAATGCATCAGTCTGAATGAAATGGAAGCTGACAGGTAAATTGAACTTAGAGGTTATCTAACAGCCTCCCCTTAAGTGGGCGAGTGAACAGCACTACATCATTGTCCTGAATTAGCTTGTCCCCAACATAGATATAGAGCAAACACGAGGGTGGGGCTCAAGGATTTTATCAACAAATCGTAAAGGAAGTTTATTTGTATAGCGCCGTTCATACTCAATGTGTTTAACAAGACAGGAAAGGAAACATTAAAATCATACAAGGCATTAAAAATCTCAATATTCACAGTAGGTACATTTAAAGGGGACATATCATGAAAAATCCACTTTTTGTGTCTTAAATGCCTTATGTTGTGTAGTTGGAGTCTCTAGAAGTGCAAAAAAGTTGAAATCAGTCTCTTCATGGGTTGCAGAGAACACTTCATATTCTGTTTAGGTAAGATTTTTCAACCCGTTCTGATTTTGCCATTCTCTATTACGTGTTTGGAATTATTACGTCACAGTTTTTGCAGCGAGACTGCTATATAAGGGCATGGGCGTCTAACAAAACACTTCGGCCCAGCCCTCCTCTACTGTGCATCACTTCGAATTTGTAGTCCAAGCTCAAGGATGCCAGCGAACAGGGCTGGACTGGCCATCGGGCCGGTCTGTCTGCCTCATACAAAACACATGTTTATGAGAAGTGTAAATCCGTTGAAAATTGTTCGAGCGGGGCGCCCGTATCCGCGGGGCACCTGCTGTATGCACTCGAACGGGATTCCGCCACCTCAGCGGCCGCAGTGTTCCGGGGCATCTGCGGCCGCTTTGTAATGCGGCTGCGAGAGGCTGTGAGCGTCCAGCCGCTCGCAGCCGCTCCACCGTGTTGCGGCTGAGCGCGCAGCTTCAACGTGGCCATGTACCCAACCCTATAAACGCGCAGAGGACCATGCGTGTCTTTGAGTAATCTGTGCACCCAATAAATACACTGCTGCAAGAAACAGTCTGCGTCTCCCGTCTCCTCTCGAAGCGCGATCAAACGCCCTAAATAAAGCTCTGATACCTAAATTTTACATTGCATTAAAAGTTCATGTTTGAGCCCAAAAGTAATATGTTGTGAACAAATTAAACAGATTTAGAGCCAGCTAATGGCTGACAATATGCATTTCAGTCTTTTTTGACCAATTCTCATCCCTGTAACAAACAATAGTCTTGTCTGTGTCCACCTCCCTCACTCTGAGACATGTTTATTACTCTCTTGTAATGCAGACTATTGCATTTTATTTTATTGTTGAAACTGCACATATCCTGATCCTCTTCAGTATTTGCTTCCACATACTGTATAAACTAGGAGTCGGCAACCTGCGGCTCCGGAGGTGCATGCGTCTTTTTCCTTCTGTAGAAGGAAAAACGTTCTTAACGTTTTTAAATGCTGTAAAATTGTGCATAAGTAATATTCAATTCAAACATTTCTGTCAACGTAGTGCGTCTTATCCTGCGACGTAGGCCCGCGCCAGGCGGCCGCTGTTGTAAACAAACCGGCATGTGAGCTCTGCTTGTGTACAAGTCTCTCCATGGCCTCGCTCCAAAATATATTAGTGACATGTTAGTACCATATGAACCAGCCCGGACTCTGAGGAGCACAAGGACTGGACTCCTGCTGGGACTCTGAGGAGCACAGGGACTGGACTCCTGCTGGGACTCTGAGGAGCACAGGGACTGGACTCCTGTTAGTGCCCAGAGTCAGAACTAAACATGGGGAGGCTGCTTTTCAGATTCATGCTGCTAAAATCTGGAACAGTCTTCCTGAAGATGTGAGACAGGCCTCCTCTCTGACAATGTTTAAAACCAGGTTAAAGACAGTTCTGTTTAGCTGTGCATACAACTGAGGGATTTTATATTTTTATCTTTCTTTTTATGTTCTGTGATTATTTATGATTTTAATGCTTTCATATTTTGTTCAGCACTTTGAATTGCCTTGTGTATGAATTGTGCTATATAAATAACTTTCCTTTCCTTGCCTTGACTGTGCGCATAGTCAAGGTTTCCTTGCGACTTGACTGAGTCGATAATAAGACTGGACTAAGAATGAAAATTAACATTTGCTTTCAGTCAATGAGGAAGGACTGCTTCATGTTTGCGATGTAATGAGAAGTTTCTATGAGATAATTGTATCTGTGCTTAGTAACTACAAAAATGGCCGCTCGGGGTGGAGTTGTACCTGTGTCACCTGGATGGGGGCGGGGTCAAAAGCGCCTCATTTGCATTTAAAGAGACAGCACCAAAACAGGTTGCTCTCATACGCACCTCAGAACAGGTGTAAAAGAAAGGCCCGTGGAGCTACAAATAATGAGACTCAGACCCAGGCATTGCAGTTACGCTTTATATAGGCCACAAATTAATGATTTAGATGTAAAAATCCATTATTTGAAAACACGATATGTCCACTTTAAAAGTGTGCTGCAATCTTTCAGTTGTATGCATAGCCAGACAGAACGTTTTTTGTTTTTTATACATGGATTTGAACATTGTCTCTCATTTTTCAGGAAGACATAAATCTGAAATACCACCTCCCCATGTTTACTTCTGACTCTGGGCACCAGCAGGAGGCCAGTCCCTGTGCTCCTCAGAGTCCGGGCTGGTTCATATGGCACCAACATGTCTCGGATGTACTTTGGTGTGAGGCCATGGAGAGACTGCTGCTTTAAAGTTTATTCTCTGAGCCGCAGGAAGACAGTGCAGAGACGTGAGGACTGGACTAATCTGATCGTACTTCCTGGTTCTAGTCAGGACTCGAGCTGTAATGTCTTTAATACGTCACAGTTTTACAGGTTCTGCTTTACGCATGTGCGATGTTATACAGTATATGAATCATGTGTTTTTTCTATGCGGTGTGGTATTTATTCATTGTTAGGACAGTACATTTGGTTGAGACAGTACACATTAATGAACACATCACTCCGGACTGTAGCCATGGGTAAATTTCCATTCGTTGTCCCACATTTGCACTCACAAACACACACTCATTCACCCTGAACTATTGAACATGTTTTTAGTGGTAGGGGAAACCGGGTGGGAGTGGGATATGGAGAGAACAAAACTCAACATGAGATGGGAAAACATTGCACATGTGATTTCTTTGTTGAAGGAAATTATGGCAATGGTGTTCATGCAGTCCTTGACACCACCATTGCATTTACTGGGACTGGGTGATATGGCGGGAAAAGAATTTGCAAAAGGGAAATAACAATTATCTTGCTTTAAAATATCCAAGAAATGTCTCGTTTAGAGATTTCATGACACTTTGAAGCAACTGTGGTGAAAGTGAAGCTCATCATTCTAACAATATGCACAAGGCAGTACTTTTCCACTGCATGTTTTGGTTATATCAAGGTTGAAGCTACAGGTTGAAGGCACTGTGGCGAAAGCTGATTGGAGGTCTCCATTCCTCCATGCTGTATAATATCACTTGCATTCTGTAACATATTTGCTTGTGCTGTCCCTTCCATCGACAATAAAACATGTCTTCTGTCTGAATTAAAGACACAATCCCAGACTTTGTCATTTTTTTCACTCCCTTGGAATGAGAAAATAAAGCAGTTCTTTATATGAGACTGAATGGCTCTGACCCATAGGTAAATCTTGTCCGAAAAACAAAAAACAAAAGATTAAACCAACGCGATTCATGTCATCATTACCTCATATTTTCTCATTTTTTGCAGTGTCCTGAAACGTTTCAACTTTGAGAGAATCCTACAGTTGTCAAGTGATGGCAAGACTACATTATAGTATTTATGTATTTTAATGTGAGTATAAATGTATACATTGTTACAGTGGTGGGTTTGGCTGCCAGGGAGACTGTTTTAGCTAACTTTTGCAAAATAAAAACGTTGAGGTACAAAAACATAAAAGTACGAGCTATAAAAACGTCTCTTTCAATCATTATTTTCTGGACTTACGTTCTGTGGGTGCTGCAGTTGTAAAACTTCACCTCCGTGCTGCCCACCATTTGTCCTGTCTCCTTTGAGTTTAGTCGGAGCTCTATCCCGGCCCAGTCTGAGAGAGAGAGAGAGAGACTACAATGAGTGGAGGGAAGAGGTCAATATGCAAAACACTTTAATACTTTTATCTGGCTCCTCTAAAGAGCCACCTGGCGTCTGTGCTTTCGCAAGGGCATATTGCAGTTGGTGTGAAAAACCTTCAGTCAGAAACTTCAAATGGAGGATTAGTGTAAATGTGCAGAGAAAATTAAACAGCCCAGGACTACCTTTGGGACGAGACACACATGCAGAGTGGTCAATCCCAAACGCAGCCTGCTTTTGTTTACTTCTTAAATCTCGGACACATTTCCACCAGCACTGCCTTAAGCTGCTCATAGAATCCCATGCAACAATATGTCCGTGTTTTCGTTTTGTTTCTCTTATTTGAAAAATGAGGATAAAAAACTATATTTGCATCTAACCATGGTTTAAATGCAACAGTGTTTAAAGATTTATCAAAAAATTTTGAAATTGTTCTAAAGAAAATGACCTCTAACTATTGTAATTCTTTGGAAGTAAATAATTAAAGTAGCAGTATGTAAAAATCTGGCCAAAAGTGGTACTGCACTCTCCCTGACTAAGGTTGCCAGATATGTAGACAAATCCAGATGGGACCATAATATCTGATCTATAAAGATATAAATATATCTATAAAGAGTTTCGTCAACAAAAAATCTATAGCTAACACTTTTTTCACAAAGATATAAATCCTGGTTGTATTCCTTGTTTTGTCATTAACTATTTGGCAATCATAACGAGACCTTTTTTAGTTCTGCGGCCATATGGTACTTTACTGTTGAGATTAGCTCGACACGTTGAGTTCTGGCAACCCGGATCACGGACATTATGATTGGTAAAACGGAGGAGGGCGGGACATCGAAATGAAATAACAATACCAAGATTTACGGGCTGCAAAACTCATTTTGAAATCCAAATATCTTGGTTGAACTACTGTTATCAGTTAGAGAAGTATTGGAAAAGAGCATGATTTGTTAATGACTTTTGACAGATTAGGGCCATTTAATGATTATTTGACATAAAATTGTACATATTGCTACTTCAAATGAATCAAGTATGACCTATTGTGGACTAAAATTGCCTTGATTATAATGTCTAATGTTGCCAGAGCGTCTTATATACAGGTGTGCCTAATAATCTAAAAGTATAATAAATACCACAGCTCAAAGAGGTTAAGGAACACTGGTCTAAGGTACAGTACAAGAATGCTCAGTGAAAAGCACAGATGCACGGTTAGGGGTCCATGCTGTGTCGGTGACCTCACCTTGTCCCTCTGGTATGTGCGGAGCCTCCTTCCCCGCAGGAGACAGACACATCACTCTGTTCCCGTTCACGTGTCCTTCCACCTGCGCCTGCTGACCGAACGAGCAGGTGATCCCAGCGGAGAGGTCGGGCACATTGTTCACCTCCAGAAGCAGCTTCAACAAACAAAAGACCTATTATAGACCATAAACCACCAGAGTAAAGTACATCCATTTATTATTTCAGACGAGCTCGGTGTTCTCTCTTCACATTATGGATCATTGTCTGTTAAGTAAAACCTATAGGGATTTTTGTTTAGGCTGCCTATTTTATTTTTCCCCCCCAAATAATACACTTTGTGTGTTTAAATATCTAAAAATAATTCCAAAAGGGCAGTCCTAAAGTCATGTTAGTGGAATATGAACCAACTCGGACTCTGAGGAGCACAGGGACTGGTCTCTAACTGGTACCTAGAGTCAGAACTAAACATGGGGAGGCAGCATTTCATGCAGCTAAAATCTTCTTCCTGAAAAAGTGAGACAGACTTCTTCTCTGACCATTTTCAAATCCAGGTTGAAAAAAGTTCTGTTTAGCAGTGCATACAACTGAGGGATTTTATCTTTACTCTTTTTAATGCACTGTGATTAATTATGATTTTAATGCCTTGAGTGATTGTTTCTACATATTGTTTTGTTTAAAGTACAGTAGAGTTGTTACTATATTGCTCAGTTTTGCTAAACAACTTTACTTTTAATAATATGGTGTACATAATTTTATATATCCTGCACGGACTATATTTTTATCCTTTAACATGTTGCACACTTCTGTCTATCTACACCAAATGTGTAGCAGTAGTAGTTGGTAATCATTTATACAGTATACCGCCTTTCAGACCAGAGTCACAAAGTGGTTTACAATTGTGGGCATTTGTCCTCTCACTCCACACAGAGATGGGAGTGGGGTCACCAGTATAGGAGGCCCAGAACAATTGTACATGTTTTAGTGGTAGGGGAAATCGGAGCACCTGAAGGAAACCTACGCAGACACGGGGAGAACATGCAAACTCCACTCAGAAAGGCCCTCAGCCACCGTGCCGCCATGGAATGTGAAATGGACATTTCTCCAGTGTGAGATCAATAAAGTCTATCCATCTTATCTTATGATGGAAAACTAAAAAAAATTGGGATGGGAATTATCTCAGAATTCTATTGGTTTGAATGGGAGCAGTCAAAATGACGTCTCTGGAAGTCCGAGTCGATTCCTAGTGTGAAATGAAGTATGTCCAGTTCTCTCAGTTTGCTCTGACGTACAATCATCATCATTGACAAGTCCCCATGCTCCATCCCTAACCCTTGTACACTCTACACATGTTTCTGCTCTGCTCTACTACACGGTTGTAATTCCTCGTAAAAAAAACTTGTGGCAGGTCAGTGATTGGTGCAACAGTAAAAGCAGACTCACTGGAACGCTGTGTGCTGATACCGCAATGCTGTCGGGATGAGAGATGACCTTCACACAGCGGTCAATGTCGGTGGCGAAGCGATACAGCTCATCAGACCTCGGACAGCGATCCTTTCTCGAGCACCTGTGGGAAAAAAACAAAACAAACAGCAGACACGGTTACACTGAGGCACCCGGAAGAAATAAGAAAGATGAGGCCAGAAAATAGCTCTGCGAGAACATTTGGGACGTGATTGGATGCCTGAACTCAGTCCACACACTAAAAAAAGTCAAAATTTATTCATTTTCACATCACCACAAATTTTGAATGCAATTCTTATTAATGGGGTCTGCCTTAAAACAAGATTTGCCAATGGGACAAACAAAAAGTATTTTATTTAAAAGATACAAGAAATGTCTCCACTGGAATGAGAAAACAAATTCAACAGTTCTTTAAATAAGACTAAATGGCATTGTTCCATTAGCCAATCTTGCTTTAAGACAGTCAGAACGAACTCAATTTGAGATAAAAATATCACAATTCAAGCAATTATCACATTTTTTGCAGTGCAGTTCTCCCTTGTCATTATCACATTCCAAAATGTTAGAATTATTCAGAGCAATAAGAGGTCAATGAACATGATTCATGAAATAATAACATCTCATTGTTGTCTGTCTTTCAGAAAGTCAATGCGAGAACACGTTTTTAAAAAAGTTGATGTTTTTTCTGTCAGGAGAATGGACTCGATGATGCATTGAAATGTTCCATGTGTATTCATGCATTTTAAAAAGTCTTCAAGGCCGATGCCATTGCAAAGAAATCAAGCACTGGAATAAAATAGAGATGTTAAATTAAGAACTTGGTCACTTGTATGATGAAAAATGTACAGAAATAATGTATAAAGCTACTATATTAGTGATAATCCTACATAAATGAGTGCTTCTAAATGGATAATGGAAGTGTAAATAGGTATATTGTATGTAGATTCTTCTGTGTATGATTGTATTTTGATTAGGCGTGGGAACCTAAGGGTACCTCACGATACGATACGCGATACAAAGCTCACGATAACGATTATATCACAATAACGATTACATCACGATATGGCGATTATCTATATATATTTATATATATTGGTCAGCAATATACTATATGCCAATATATTGTATACATAAAATAGAAAAATGTTAAGTGAAAAAAGACACTTTATTTCACGATAACTGGAATGGAGATGTGTAATGTAGCCATATATTAAGTATTGATACTAATAAAAAATTGATACTTGGCAAATGCATATCGATAATCGATTGCAGGAGAAAGGATCGCGATGTATAAAAAAATCGATAAATTGTAACACTCCTAATTTTGATCCATAAATACTTGTTTATGGTATTGTAAAGTTTTAACAGTTCTTGAAATAAGACTAATGGCTTTGTCCCATTTAAAAAAAACATTTTTAAGTCAGAATGCACTCAAATCAAGCATTTATGTCTCATATTTTAACCTTTCTTTTGCATTGATTGAAATAATAATTGTGGTTTCTTGAATATATTCAGTGTTATTGACTTGTGTCTTGTGACAAAGTGAACTTCTGCTGTAAAGTAAGTAAAGAAGCTAAAAAAAATTCTTACTTGGATATAGCTTAAGGAGCGTTCAGGGAATGAGGTTGGGCAGTAGTGTGTCTCAAAACACAAGGCGGCCTCAGTTGTATATTATACTTGTATTATTGTACTATGTCATTATGTCTCCTTTTTTCCCCACTGAGAAAAAAATAAAGGTTTATCTTATCTTAGTTAAAAAGTATAGTGTCCTGTATTTACATTATAATTATGGTCTTCTTGCAACAAACTCATTTTCTTTGTGCATGTCTCCATTGGTGAGGTTGATCAAGTTTTTTTTCTTTATATCTTATCTTCTTCATTCTCACTGTGTGCCATAGTACTATCTCATTATTATCATTATTATTATCATTATGTCACAGTCAGAGTCAAAATGTATATATAAATGCTAATTTATTATTTGGTTTGACTCCAGTGGTGTGCGCTGGACAGTCGCTAATGTACGTATGTGTAAAGTTAATATGCAGTTCATTAAGATTGTAACACAAAACCCCATGCATAAAAACCCACAATATAAAATGTTCATCTTCTTTTATAGACCACAATTAAAAGTAACCGCACACTGCAAAAGAACCAAAGTAGTCTTTCATAAAACCTAGTGGGATCTTTATCACTTTGCTCATGTTTCTCCAATGTCTCCTCTTTCAATCTGCGATGCCAGGCCTGATAATTCATTTAAGATTTTACTGTTCTTTTCTGCAGAGCCAATTACGCTGAGTGTCACAGAGGAATAATCTTACCCCTTACATCCCAAAAGGAAATTACTTGTAGAGTGGTGGATGAGTTGGCTTTTTACTGTGACCTTACCGTACTCTTGTCTGGGTGACGCAAGAATTAACACACTTTGAGAGGAGGGACATTTTTATGGGTTGCATTAAAATTCAAACTAATAGAGCGTAAGCCGTGTTAGAGAAGATAGCAGTTTATAGTGGTTTGAATAGCAAAAATAACATCTGTGCTAGTTAATACGATATACTGTAGGTAGATAGATAAGTAGATAGATAGTTAGATAATTAATTATATAGAGAGATAGAGAGTTAGATAATTATATATAGATAGATAGATAGATAGATAATTATATAAATAGAGAGATAGAGAGATAGTTAGATAATTATATAGATAGAGAGATAGATAGTTAGATTATTATATATAGATAGAGAGATAGAGAGATAGATAGTTAGACAATTATATATAGATAGAGAGATAGAGAGATAGATAGTTAGATAATTATATATAAATAGAGAGAGAGAGAGATAGAGCGATAGATAGAGAGATAGAGAGATAGATAGTTGGATAATTATATATAGATACAGAGAGATAGAGAGATAGTTAGATAATTATATATAGATAGAGAGATAGAAAGATAGATAGATAGATAGATAGATAGATAGATAGATGATAGATAGATAGATAGATAGAGAAAAACACATTTATCCTAATCATAAATAACCGCAGTGCATTAAAAAGAGTAAAGATAAAGTCTTTCGGGTGTATGCAGAGAAAAACAGAGCTGTCTTCATACCTGGACCAGTGAGCAGGCCGTTACAGTGGTCCAACCTACTGCAGTCTGCACTATGATTTTATTTATAGTTTGAACCATAGTTTTTCAGGTGGTAAAAAGTTGCTGATGTTACTGATTTTATTTGAAATTTCTGAGTTCATTATTACCCCTGGGTTTCTTACTTTATTTAGAGGTTTTAGGAAGAGAGACCAAGGTGACAGAAGATGCTCTCTCTTGTTGTTTCTGGGGTCCAAAGACAATCATTTGAGTTTTGTCTGTGTTTAGCTGCTACTACTATTATAACTATTGAATTTCCTTGTCAGTCACACAGAGCATTGCCGAACCTGACCAATAGCACGTGCTTTAAACAGAAAATTACAATTGAGATTTTTAACCAATAAATCAGACCACTCAAACAGCAAACATCACATCAATTATTTTACATTAACCTTTTATGGCTTTCTTGCCCACCCTTAAGCTACAGAAAGTGTATTCTAATGGGTTGCTTTTGTATATGAACTTGTTACACTTTTAATGGATGAAAACATGGGTCTCGTGTATAGTAATACTAACGTAAATCTCAAAGCAATGATTTTTGCCTTGGAAATCCAGACAGTATTTGGTTCTCCTGTCTCCCCAGCAGTGTGCAGCTCGGAGCTAATAGACTGCTGAAGAGCATGAGGGGGCGGCGCCTCCAGAGAGGACTCAAAGAGCAGTGTAATTACAACACAATATAAAAGCAAAATGGGAAAGCGCTGACAGCTGCAGAGCGCGCAGTAGTCCAGGCAGTCACCTTCTGACCGTGCATCAGCTCAAGTGCGCCTTTCATCCAGCACCGTCTTTCACCACCTTTTATTTGGCCGCTTTTGTGGGAGTGTTTTGTCTGATGAGGGAAATTGCACCTCTTCCTACTTTGCATAGCCGGTAAAGAGAGCTCACTACATCTGGAATGGTATGAAATTATGCTGGGACTGGCAGGAAAAAAAACATAATACAAATAAAATAATAATAATAAAATAAAATCCAAACTCTTTAAAGCAGGTTTTTTAAACTTAAATAATTTTGAAACTTTCAGAGCCGCCATTTTGATTGCTCCTATTAAAATCAAGGGAAAGTCGGTGTGTTTAATCAAAATGCATCTTTGCTCTCTTTTAATAAGGGCAAAAATTGGTGATTATAACTGAAAATACAGAAAAAGTGTGCTGAAAGGCTAATGCCAACAGTTAGCAAGTTAACGCTATGTTGCTAAGGTAGTGCTGACACTTCTCCACTTCTCTAATCCATTTAAAAAGCTGATGGTAAACTTTTCAGAATGTCTTTGGATTGAAAGGTAGCAGTAAAAATTACGGCTCTGGGAATTGGAGTTGTTTCATATATCTGGGAGTATTTGTGTTAAAGTTGGGGTCTCCCTTTGCCAGCATTGTCCATAGAGCAGGGTTCTCCAACCTCTTTCATTCGGCAGAGCTACTTTTATACAACAGAAGAAAAGCTACTCCTTTTTGATAGAGCCGAGAAGTACGAGGAAAAAAAATTCTAGTAGAATGATAGAAAAAAAAGGAAAGATCCAAAAGATAAATAAAATAATAAAACGATCAAAAAAAAAATGACAGAAACAGAAAAAGGAAGACATACGTAAAGAAGAGAGGATGACAAATAGGTCCAAACAACACAAAACCAAGAAGCCAAATAAACACATGGAAAAAGAAATTGGGACTCAGGGAACCACCAAAACTATCAGGCATAGAAAGCAACAACACGCTCAGCACCACCCGGCTCAGACAAATCCACCCCGCAGATCCTGGAAACCGACCCGCGGGACATAAAGGTACGGTTGAAGGCCGCCGACCGAACACCCCACCGCCCGCCTCCGGCCAGTTTCTGGCGCCCCAGGTCAGTTCACGGGACAAGGCCATCCCCGCCCCCTCGCCGGTGCTGCGGGCTCAAATACCACACTACCGCCCCAACACACCCAGTGCCCGCCGTGGTGTGGTGAGGGGGGGGGTGGGGGGGGAATCTGGACCTCAGCCCCGCGTCACCGCCCCCCCTGCCCCCGGCTCCCGGACCCGCAGCCCGCACACCATAGTGGACCCACTCGTTTGGCGCCATCGCGTCTGCTCCGTCTTCCGTACCCACCCTTGTTCGTCTCCCCGTACGCGTGTCGTGCCACCTTCCTCCCGGACTCCGCCGCACACCGCCCGGCTACCAACCCGACCGGGGCCCCCGCTCACTTAGACACATCCCCCTACTCCGTCATTCCCTCAGTACCCCTACACCCCCACCATCCCCTGTGGCCGCCTCGCGCCACCCACCTCGGTCCGGAGCGGCTCCCCGCGAACGGGCACGAAGTTATGCGGTGCACGCGCTCCTCCCCCGTCACTCGCGGTCCCGTACCCCACGCGCTACTCCGCTCACGCGTATTTATACATTTTCCCCCTCGCCCTCCATTCAACACCTCACCGCCCCGGTTGCTACCTCTGCCCGCTCTTGTGGGCGGGTACTCTCCCGGCCGCCCGCGAGGGGGAACCCCCTTCACTTGGAGGGCCCCCCTACCACCCCCCCGTACTTCGCTTCCATCTGGGCCCGTGAGCTCGGGGCAAGTCCTGCCCCACCCCCCCACGGCTACGTGGCCTCCTCCACGTCACCCCCCCTTTCTTATCTGCCATGGCCTGTTCTCGCTGGCGTGCGCTTCACCCTACGACCTCCTCGTTCCCTTCCACGAGCTTCCCATTGTCCGGCCCCCCCCCCCCCCGCATTCGCGATCCTAGCTGCTTTATCCCCCGCTATTCCGCACTCCCCGTGTACCAGCTGCCTGTCGTCCTCGACATACCACCCGCCATTCGGCCCGCCACACACGTTTTACATCCCCTCCCCCGCCGGTTACCCCCCGCCACCCCGACTGTTCTCCCCGGGGGCTGCGAAGCGTCGCCGACCCCGGGCCCGTCCCCTGGCCCGCCCCAACCCACCCCGCCAGCCACCCCGCCTCCTTGGGTGCGCCTGCGTTCCCCCCCATCCCCACCATCTCCTGTTAACTCTCTCTGTCAACAAGCAGTCCGCCCCCGGCCCCCCAGCCCACACAGGCACACCCCCCGCCGGGACCCGCCTGACCGTGATCGCCCTACCCCCACCTTGGCCGGCCCGCCCGGGTTGCGCTGCTGGGGCCCTTCGTGCGCCCCCTCCGTCCCTCGTTACCCTCACACCCGCCACTCCATGGCAGCAGGCCTCTACCCCCCGACCCACAATGCCCGGACTCCACCGCCGCCGCCTTGAGCGCGGGCCCCGCTGGACCCCTGCGCTCCGCAGTCCTCTACTGCCCTCTGCCGCCTCGTCACGGACCGCTTTTCGGCCACCCACGTCCGCCGTCCGCTACACTCCTCCCGTTCCGGTTTCGCCTCCGCGCACGCCCCTCCAGCGACACCCCCTTCCACCCGCCACCGGCACCCCCCCTCGGCCCCGGACTGCGTCCCGGCATTGGTTGGTGTTACCGGCTATCCTGGGCTCTGTCACCCCGTCCCCTTCCTCTCCGACCTTCGGCTTACCCCCACTTCCTATCCCGCAATGCCACGCGAGGCGCGCTCCTTCGCGTTGTACCCCCCCTCCCGCCCTATCGCTCATCGCCTCCCGGCTGTCGTTCCCGGGGTATCCCAGGCGCCCGCATCTCCGCCCCGGCTCCGACCCGCCCGCACGCCGACACCCCGTCGCCCACACCCCCGAGGCCGGGGCCCGAGCGGCCCGCCGTAACCGCACCTCGGGGCCCCCCTCCGGGGCCCCCCCTACCTCCCGTGAGCCCGCCCGGCGCCTCGACCCCCCGGCCACCCCCCCCCCCCCCTCACGCGTGCCGTCACAGACCCCGCGGGCCTCTCGCCGTCCTCGTTGACGCCGCTCCCCCCTTACCCGACTCCCCCCGCGTTACACGCCCCACTACTCGCCCCTCGGTCCGGGCTGCGCCCAGCCTACCCGCCCTCGCGCGTCCTCACCGTCCCGACGCCCGCCCGCCACGTCCGCCCGGCTCAACGGCCCCTCCTCCCGCTGCCGTCTACCGCGGCCCCCGGCCCGACGTGCAGCAGCCTTCCACCTACCTTCACACGCTGACCCCCCCCCCCACCGCCCACTGCGCCCCCTGGGCCCCCCTCGCCTTCCCCCTGGGTGCCGTCTGTACGGCCCAACATCGGGACCCGATCGCCACCTTACCCCGATTCCGCCCTCCCTCGCCCGCTCTGGTGTTCCCCACCCCGTGTCGCCGCCCCGGGGAACCTCTGGCGCGCGCGGGGGCCGCCTCGACACCCCACCGCCCTTCCGCCCCTCCATGCTGTTGCCCCGCATACGCCGGTCGTACAGGACGCACCCCCCCTCGGCCACACGCCCGGACCCGGTCTCATCCCCGCCGCGAGGCTCCAGCGTTACGTACACCCCTGTGGGGCGGCCACCCCTCCCTCCTTCACCGCTTCCCACCGGAGACCCCCCCTCCCACGAGGACCACCCCCTACACTGACTCCTCTACGCCCGCGCCGCCTCGCCAACCTACGCCTCGCCACTATCTTCCCCTTGCACACGGGCGGCCCACCATACACCCGGCCCGTCCTCTAGACCCGCCCTATCGTGCGCACTGTACCCCCAGTCCATTGTCGCCTCGCCCCCCGCGGGCCTCCCTGGGGCACCCCCCCACCCCCCGGCTCGCTGCCGTCCGAACTCCCCGACCTGCTCCCGCTCGGTCGGCAGCTGGGGTCCCCGACGACTCCACAAGCCCGCCGGCCTCGACCCCCCACCCCCCCCGCAGAAACTGACCGCGCCTGGCCCGCAACACCGGGGCTTTAATCAAAATGCATCTTTGCTCTCTTTTAATAAGGGCAAAAATTGGTGATTATAACTGAAAATACAGAAAAAGTGTGCTGAAAGGCTAATGCCAACAGTTAGCAAGTTAACGCTATGTTGCTAAGGTAGTGCTGACACTTCTCCACTTCTCTAATCCATTTAAAAAGCTGATGGTAAACTTTTCAGAATGTCTTTGGATTGAAAGGTAGCAGTAAAAATTACGGCTCTGGGAATTGGAGTTGTTTCATATATCTGGGAGTATTTGTGTTAAAGTTGGGGTCTCCCTTTGCCAGCATTGTCCATAGAGCAGGGGTCTCCAACCTCTTTCATTCGGAGAGCTACTTTTATACAACAGAAGAAAAGCTACTCCTTTTTGATGTCATAATTAAAATCTATGTAAAAATTATGACACAACATGTGAAACAGATTTAAAAAATACCATGAAACTGTGAAATCCTGTATTTATACTTATAATAGATGTGCAATGAATTCTAAATTGTTTGAGCAGCTACCTGAAAGGAGCTTGCCCTGATGTAGAGACTTATATTGTTTTCCCATTCTCTTATAGTACACTAGTAATTCAATATAGGATCAAATATCATGGTTGTTGGTTGCATTAGCAATAAGTGCACACCATCAATCAACAAGCTAATCCCTCACAAACACAAGAGCAAAGGGGAAATGTACACATAAGGATTCCTCCTATTCTGTATTCAAAGCAGCTCAGATCTGAGTGGAGATATTACCAGCTGAAATTCAGACGTCACACTGTTAAATCCCTCCGCTCAGGTCAACCACCAACCCAGCGGCATGCGCAAAGACACAGCCGTTTAATCTCCTATATCCCCTTTACTCAATTTCGAGGTTTTATGCAAGCTAACCTGGGGGTCACATAATTAAGACAGAGGAGATAAGCTGGTTCATGCATCGTGTCCAAAATGCCAGTATCCTGCTGAGACCACTAAATTAATCCCTCTCTCTCCATTAACTTTACTAACCCTTGGCGCACTCACACAATAGACATCATTTTGAGAGGGTTGGTCAAAATATCTGTCCCCTAACCACTTCCTGCTTTTCTGAATGTCCCACCAGCTGTTCTTGATGGCAAGCAAACGTTAAGCCTGCTAAGTATTAACGAACAAACCACTTTCTCATGTCTATTTTAGGATTGCCAAGCCAGATGTTGGGAAAGTATATGGAGCTAAAAGTTGTGTAATGTCTAATAAAGATAAAACTTACATGTTGTAGAGAACACACCAGCCGCAGTGTGGGTCTCCTGAACTTAAGCACTCGGAGCATGAGCTGTACTGCCCACAGGCCTCGACAGGGACCTGGACCACCTGTAAAGAAAAACACATATTTTTTCACTATTAGATTTGGCATTAGCTTCTTTGAAAAAAACATTCAACAAAATAGTACAGGACAAGGCTGTGCTTAACCATGTACATTTTTTTTACTCAATTTAACTGACACAACAGAACACCTGGAGAAATGCAGTTAATGATTTATCAAGACAAAAAATAGTCAAGTTAGCATGTGTTTTCAAATAGGAATGGACATGACCAGAAGCCTGTAGCCTCAAAAAATAAATTATTATTATTGTTAGGGGAAGCTAGCGCTGTCAAGTATGGCAGGCAAATAGCTCACAGACTTGAGTGCTAGCAGTGTGATGCTTTCACATCAAGTTTGGAGGCTTCGTCACAGACTGCGTTGATTCGGTGCTACTCAGATGCTACTGCTAAAAGCTAACCTGAATCTTTTACTGCACCTTTAAGTCGCCAGAGCCAGGCAAAAGGTTTTTGATTTCTGAAAAGAGGAGTCACTTTTGATGTGCAAGATTATGCGTGTGTAGTGTGTACAGGAGTTAGAATAGGAAGCATGAGCACACACACACATACACACACACAGACGGACATAGACCGACATACTTCTGTAAATGTCAATGCTTGAGAGAACGGTGACACTGGGTTAATACAACCTGCTATCAATAAAGTTGATTATGGTAATCAAAACATAGAGCGAAAATTATGAAATGCAGAATAAAGTTTTTGTCATGATTCTTTTTTATCATTACTGTTTGAACACAGTGATATGTGGCAAGAGCTCTGGTGTGTGTCGTCTGGTGCACACTGGGCTAGTCTTGCACAATTTTTCCTATGTGGTTTTAATGCAAATGGCAAATAAATGAATCTGAATCTGTCTTTATTGGACACCAGGTTAAAACGGGGGAGAGAGAGGGTTGACTCAATCAGATAAGGTCACACGTCTAATAGTGCCCCATAATCAGAGTGACAGTCACAACTTGCTCTATGGTTCAGCTTCGGCTTGAGCCGCAACCCTCCTCCTCCCATCAACACATCGTCATTCATTACATCAGGCTATATTTCATTTGTAATTCAAATACATCATTCTCGTTTTAAATATTTATTACAATTTGATGTTCTTTTAGACTCGTCTTGTCTTCTTAGTAGAATTAAAATCACTTGGTTCTTCTATACCAGAAAATAATAGGTTAGTGATGTTATTACCTTGTCTAGTATAGAAGAACCAATACTTTTCATTACGTTCTACGCAACTTAATCCACTGTTTAGATGATTATTATGTGTCTTTATTTTGTTCATCACTATCTGCAGAACCTGGAGTGAGATAACATCTACTTGTGCCACTATAAAACATGAAAGTCAAGCGATCCATAAGCTCTCCATTAGCGCCGAGAGAGGGGCTACCGTCAAGCATGCAGCACCATCCCCTGCATACAAAACCAGGACTGTAGCCTCAGCCTTCCAAACCGGACTATTCTATATGTGCTTATTATTCAGGCTGCTGGACGTATGATGCAAGCAATTTCCTGATGTAAGCAATCAGAAATGAAGAGAGGATTATGGATTGGAGTGTCCAACGGTGCTCTTGATAGCATAAGTGGGTACTCTTTCAGGTCTGTGTTGGTAAAATGGATTATCAGCTGTTCTCTGGAAAATAACTTCTCTCTCTCCCCTTTCCCAGCAGTACAGAGCATTCGGTGCATTCCATTAGGGAAATGATTTGGTAGAGCAAGGGGGCGGAGAGCTCAGACTCTAAATCTGACACAGTTGAAATAATCCATTGAGTTGCGGTGGACCAGTGTTCATCCAAACTAACAGAGCAGGTTGTGCGGAGTGACCTTTACAAGGAGAGAGCTATAGATCCCCAGATTCACTGCTGCTCGGACATCACACTTGATTTGTTAAGAGGAGAACAGCGGAGCAGGAAGGGCCTGGCGTGAACTAAATAGGAACAAGACTTTTGTCGGTAGAGTTTAACCTGACATGGGCCTAAAAGATCAGCGACTTTAGAAATGACTGAAATCTGTCTTTGTGGCCTGTCATTTTCTGCTGTTTTAATTTGATATTAGCTCTCCTGTGGTTTTGTTATTGTTTTACTTCCTGTCCAGTTCCCCTGTTGATTGTCGGCCCCGCCCTAATATGTTTTACCTGTGTCTCTCTGTGGCTATATGTACCCGTGCTCCTCTCCACTTGTTGCTGGTCTGTCTTGGTCTGTCGTGGTATGTCTTGGTCTGTCTTAGTCTGCCTTTGTTCCTGGTTCCATTTTTGTTTTTTTTACCTTCGACTTTTGTTGTATAATGTTCCTGCCCTTGACTTTTATTTTCAGTAGATGATTATTTTTTAGATTCCTGCATTTCCTTCCATCACTTCACCACATTACAAAATAGGATCAATTTAATATATGCAGCACTTAAAATGCACCTTTTAAACTACTTTTTGAGTAGTAGAGAGAATTTAAGGAATGTCAGTCAGTTATCTACAAAGCAAAGATAAACATCTTTCTGGTGTAAGTTATTAATAGTTATGCAATTAATTAGCCTGGTCGTACCACACCATATCACAAATTATATTTCATACTAAGGTCTGGAGTAGCGCCACAATCTTTGCCAGCGATTACATTTGCAAAAAAATCCTCTTGCTCCGGCTTCAATTTCTTTATAGAACCAGACCGGATTACTTTATGATCGCATTCTTTGCCATTGCCAAACTACGACCTTCCCGTTCTGCGCAAACTCTTGACGTCACCCACTACTAACTACAACACCCGCCTCCCGCGCTTGCTGATTGGTCGGATGGAATTCAACCGATTGTAATCGCTAACCCAGGGACCAGACCGCTCAATTATCATTCCCCATGCAGGGAAATGATAATTGAGCGGAGTGTACAGATGGCTAAGGCCAGGCTAGAAATGAATAGGAAGGACAAATAAAACCGCTATAGAACATATTACATTTTCCTTATATGTATTATAATAGTTACTTCGAGTAATATGATAAAGGTTTAAGTTCAATTTCAACTCGATTCAATTACATTTATTTTTGTATAGCCCTAAATCACAACAGTAGTTATCACAGAGGACTTTACACAGCTGTTGAATTCGCCAACACAGATCAGAGAATCAAACATTCCAAACAATAAAATAGAAACCACATTGGTATCATCTATAAGGAGCAGATAACGACCATTGTCCATATTTGATGAAAAATGTTGTTTTGTGGAGAGTCCTGGATCATCACCACTGTCCTTTTAGTTAGTCCTCACAAGACTCTAACAGACCCTCCTGCATCGGTAAGGAAAAACTCTAAACCTTACTCTAACTTTTGTAGTCTATTGTAGTGTTGTAAATGTTCCAGCATGTGTTGTCTCTGCCACACCAGGATCGTGTCCATTGAATTGTTAAGTTGCTGTATTAAGCTTTCATCTGTGTTCAACGTAGCATGGCTCCCTCATAAATCATTCAGGCCCAGTCGTACTATTTAGTATTTCTAATCAAGCTTTTGTTTGTCTGTTCCTCTGTTCCTTCCTAAAACAAACACAGACAGCCAAAGAAAATCCTCTGCTCCCGAGAGCCTACAGTAAATCTCAGCCTGGCAGAATGTTGTAGTTGGTTCCTTCAGAGCCAAGGACGTAAAGGAAAAAAACATCAGTGTGTACAAGCTTTGGGAATACCATAATTTCACAACATCTGGAATGTTCTTATTCAAATGCGCCTCAGATTATGCTGTGATTTCCTCTGGGATTTGTGTTTTTAAGGACAGATATCTTCAAGCTTTTAGACCTTTTACTCACCCGTAAATGCAAATACGGGTGAACTATTTATGGGAATGATAAACTTTGAGAATGCATCGTATTCTACTGTAGATGAACTGTTTAACTCTGTCACCTCTAGTGTTTTGAATGTTCTGGACACCATCGCTCCTGTGAAGGTTAAAACAGTGAAAAATAAGCAGAAGGCGCCGTGGGCTAAAGCAGACTCGGTCAGGGCACAAAAGAGAGAGTGCCGGAGGGCCGAGCGGAAGTGGCGCAAGTCCAACCTCCAGGTTGATTACGAGATCTTCAAAGATAAGTTGTGCGAGTTTAACCAGGTGCAACGTAGTACGAGAGAAAGGTATTTTTCTGAAATGATTGAAGGCTGCAGCAACAATCTGCGTGTTCTGTTTTCAACAGTTAATAGATTAACAAACCCCCCTGTTCAGATGCCATTAGAGCTAACTTCCAAACGTAAATGTAATGAGTTTGCACATTTTTTCAATGACAAGGTTCAAGGCATCAAAAACGCCATTGTCTCCAATCCACAGATAACCATCCAACAGCCAGAAAGGCTCTCTGAGCTAACTTACTTTGCACCTGTAGAGGATCAAACTGTCCAAGAGATAATCTCCAGTCTGAGCGCCTCCACATGTAGCCTGGATGTACTACCCACTAGATTTCTAAAGTCTGTTCTGAGCAGTCTGTTACCTTCACTCACACAGATAGTAAACATGTCCCTTCATTCTGGAATATTCCCAAAGGCCCTGAAAACTGCAGTCATCAGGCCCCTGCTTAAAAAGAGCAGTCTGGATGCTACGGTACTTAACAACTACCGTCCCATCTCAAATCTGCCATTTATGGGGAAAGTCCTTGAAAAAGTTGTCTACCAACAGCTAAATAGATTTCTTATAATCAACAACTCATTTGATATGTTTCAGTCCGGCTTTAGACCCCACCACAGCACTGAGACTGCTCTCGTCAAGGTTACAAACGATATCCGGCTAAACACTGACGCAGGCAAAGTCTCAATCCTAATCCTGTTAGATCTGAGTGCTGCCTTTGACACTGTCGACCATGAGATCCTCTTACAGAGACTAGAGGACTGGGTTGGCGTCGCTGGCACCGCCCTAAGTTGGTTTAGGTCTTACCTTGAAGACAGGAAGTACTTTGTGGAGATTGGAAACTGTGTCTCAGATCATATGGCCCTGACCTGTGGAGTACCACAGGGGTCGATCCTGGGACCTCTTCTTTTCAATCTCTACATGCT